AATATTTGAATTAATAATAATGTTTAAATAATATTAATAATATTTGAATTAATAATAATATTTAAATAATAATATTTGAATTGATTGATTTTCTTATTTATTTGTAGTGCTCTCTTTACTTTCTCATCTACTTCAAATTATCTGCGTCAATATTTGCGACGAATGATTTTGATCGAAACAAAAACGAAAAATATTTGTCCAATATCCCGTTGCGCGCGAGATTATTATATTTCCGCTGTCGCAAGATACACTCGCGGATAGACGTTTGAAAATAATAAATATAAAATTACACACTCGTACATATCTATTCTCGTGAGGAGAATCGCGTTACTCGCTGACGCAAACGAAACCGCGGCGACACCTCGCAATTTCGCGGCTTTTTAATTCAGCGAGCGCCGAATTAGCGGTCTGAATTAACGTCCCTACGCAATTTTACTTTCCGACGAAGCGCGTAATAAAAATTTACGACACGACACGAAGAGATTCGTCAAACGCGCGAAAGCGAAGACGCGAGATGCAACTTCCGACACGTGTTTACGATATCTCGGCGCCGCCTTAAACCGGTTAGAAGTTACACCGCAGTTAATTTACTGACAGTTGACGAGCCATCGTGAGTAGCGAGAGACAGAGAGGAGAAGTGCCTTTATGACGCAACCGCGATGCGTTCCCAAGTTAAGCGGCAATAAATCCGCGCACACACTCGTCACGTTACACGAGTTACAAAGTCAATGTCGCGCCGTCGTAACTCGTATCTCGTTTGCGAGCGGACGTGTCAGAGTTCCGCGAAAATCGCTCGCAAGATAAACTCGTACCTGGACTAAATTAAGCGATAATAAACCCGCGCAAACGAGTCCTCTTTCGCGAGTTACAAGTCGATATTCGCGTCGTTAACTCCTGTCTCTATCCGAGAGACGTTTTTACCGCTCACTCGAGGAAGATAAACTTCTCGTGAGAATAGAGGAGATCGCGAGCGAAAAAAAAAATAGAGCAAACAACGGACGGATATAATATCAATCGAATTGGCGGCTAACGGGATTTCTTGTAGGCTGTCTAGCGTAAAACAAGATTACCTTTGTGCGAATTTATTAGAGATGGAAACATTCACTCACGAATATTTATTTGTCCGAATATTTGTTTTTTTCACCATCTGATATCACGCTTCCGAAATGTGTAAATACGAACCGTGACCTTTTTGCGGTTCTCGCTGACGTTATTCATGTAGAATCCATTAAGCAATTATACGAAAGTTTTTTGGTATTTGTCGCTTTTTAAATCCAACGATGTCCTCGGAATTTCTAATGTGTCTCTCTTGGACAGGCAAAATGGATGGAAATCGTGAATTCCATCCATTTGAATTCCTTGGGTAAAATTCTCATCTAAAATTTTCATCAATCGCTCTCTTGCACAAAGTATCAGCTGCATCGAATCTCTCTTGAACAGGCAAAATAGATGGAAATCGTGTGAATTCCTTGGGTAAAATTCTCATCTAAAATTTTCATCAATTGCTCTCTTGCACAAAGTTTTTTTTAAATACATTTTTATATAAATACAGATGTAACGTGATTATTTATTCGAGCATTACGAGAGAGAGAGAGGTAACGTATGAAATTAGAAAAAGAAAAATATACAAATTGGGGGGGTCTAAAAGAACCATCACCCGTGTCGAATCTCTCTTGAACAGACAAAATGGATAGAAATCATAAATTCCTTAAGTAAAATTTTCATCTAAAATTTGTATCAGAACACTCTCTTGCACAGTTTTTTTCAAATACATATTTTAATATATTTTATATAAATACAGACGTAACGCGATTATTTATTCGAGGATTACGAGAGGCAACGTGTGAGATTAGAAAAAAAAGATATACAAACTGTGGTCTAAAAGGACTTATCAGTCGCGTCGAATCTTTCTGGCAATTGTAACGATGCCATTGCGACAATAATGCAACCGACAATGACGACTTCCGTGAAACCATGAACAATATGGAGCGGAAGAACATTTTTTTGTCAGTATGGGGAACGTTGATGTGACTGGTGTGCGCGTGAGATGAAATATCGATAAATGAGTATATAAGTCGTACGATATATCTCTCATCGATCTTGAATGTCAAAGTGACGAGAATTAATTGCGCGGGTAACTGCGTAATATGAAATTAAATATATGCATATAAAATTAAATGTATGCTACGCATACATTTAATCATTACAGATAAATAAATTATTCAGCCACGTGAAAAAGAATAAATAAATCTTTCCGTAAGGGGTCTCTCGATGACGATAAAATTGATCCTTTCAAGTTGTATCACACGCCAACTCTGACTACCTCGACCTTAATGTTCTTTTTTCGCCTGCTATCACTTGACACTATCGTTAATTAACATCGAGGCGACACTTCAGTTACTATCCCCCCTACATCGTCGCAGTTTTCCTCGATAAATCGTCATTAATCCTCTATCCATTACGATATCGTATGGCCACTACGGTATCACAGAACAATATTACGGCAGGTCACGCACGTTTCCACTCGGCAAAATTCTTCTCTGACAAGAAAGAAAATCGATACATTACTTTCTCTTATAATCTATCGCTTATGCTGTTCTATACGCGTCCGTTATCGATTAATTCACAAAAACGCGGACACGAAACAAGCGGACCGACCTTGAGATATCAGGCTTTGCATCTCCAAATTTAGAAAAACCGGTTTATTTCCTTTTATTTCGTGACAAGACCCGAAAGATTGACGAAAATAAAAACAAAAGTGTTCCTCTTTGACTCCATTTTTACGCGGGATCCTCCCTCACCTTACATAATTAAATAATTAAATAATTTCTAATAAAATTAAAATAAATTAGATAAATTAAATAATTTATCTAATTTTTTTCATATTATTCTCTAACAAGAGTATTTAAATTTATTGAGACGAGAAACTGCGTCTCTCAAATTACCGCTTCTCGATCCGTGAACTTCATCCGTAATTATTATGCGTTAATTATTATGCATTAAACGAGCAGCAATTACGCAACGCCTGGTGTCCTTATTAGATACAGTCGCGACGATACGTTTTTTAATGTCTTCTTAAACTTGTTCACGGCATCAAATCAGAAATTTATATTTATTGATATCCACAAGATATTTTGAGATATTTGTAAATTACTTCTGCAGCATCATTCACCGATCACCTTACAATTAGAGCAGGATCTTTCGGAAGAAGAGTTTTTCCACGCCTAGAACATGACGCAGAAAATTGAACGGTATGAAATAACCGTGTTATCGTGTAAACGGATACGGCACGGAATCGTTTACGGTTACTTGAAGCCGATATACTTGGTGGAAGCTTAGTTGAATTCGGGCACGAGCTCTCGGAACAAAAGAAGAATGCCGCTATTAAAAAGCGAGACGAGAAACTGCGTCTCTCAAATTACCGCTTCTCGATCCGTGAACTTCATCTCGTAATTATTATGCGTTAATTATTATGCATTGAACGAGCAATTACGCAACGCCTGGTGTCCTTATTAAATACAGTCGTGACGTTTTAATGCCTTCTTAGACTTGTTCGCGGCATCAAATTAGAATTTCGCATTCCCAGATGCCAATGGGATTTTTTCTCAGTGTTACTTAAAAATAATCACTTTGATAGAATAAATTTATATTTATTAAAATTAATTTTAAATTTCTTCAATTTTCGTCCGTTTACACAGAGAAAAATGTATACTGTGTTCAAGTAAATATTATTTATTTTAAGTATATTATAAGTTTGTATATCCGCAAATATATCAAGTTCATCACAAGCATTAAATTTAATTGAATATTCTGAATTTTAGTAAGTGCAGTATTTTAGTCAAGAATATTAACTTAAAACAAAAATTTGGTTTGCTTACTACAAGAATTGACGTAAAATAAGTTTGATTCTTCTTTGATACAACTTTACAATATTCTTGAAAAGAAAATAAATTTTTCCTTTGAGTACATGATAATGAGATTTTCTAACATTTGTGATGAGTATATTTTAAGATTATTATCAAGAATATATTCTTTGTTGAAGAAAACTATTACTTAAAAAAAGAAAAATAAACTGAGTAATCGCTTTTCTTGGCAGTAGAATGATATTTTTCTCTGTGCAGAATTATTTCGAAAAATAGACAATATTATGGACGATTTTTCTATTTTTCTTTTCTTCAAAAACATTCGCTCTCGGGAAGAAAGGGGTTCAAAGAACTGATGTGTTTTCTCGTACGTTAAAAAGAGTCGCGGAGTTTTCTTTTCGCTCGTTTCTCGTCGGACCAACCGAAGCGAAAACACGAAACCAAGAGCAAAACCGAGCCGGGGTCCAGTTATACTCGTGGAAAGAAAGAGAGCGAGAGAGGGTTCCCGGTGTTAAAGACACGCTCGGCATAATAAGCGGAAACGTAATCACAAAGCTCGAGGGGCGGCGGCTAGAGTTCCTCTCGTTGCATTACGTTACGAAACTATGCTTACGTTACTGCGCGTCTGTTTCTTTTTTTGTTACCGGCGCGATCGTAATACAATCAAATAGAGGGGAAGCGTGCCCTGTTGCGTGTAATCACCGGAAAATCGCTCGCATTTTTTGCATAGCTCGGTCATGTGGTCGGTCACCTTTGGCAGAAAAGTGAGGAAGCCAGAAAAAAGAGAAAGAAAGAAGATAATTCTTCGTCATATTTCATATCAAAATAGTTTTCCAATACAAATTTATAATCGAATTTATTATTAAACATTTTCAGAATGTCATCAAAAAATTTCCAAGTTATATCAGAAGCCAGATCGATTAATATAATATATTAAAAATATAATAAAATATTAAATAGATAATATTAAAATAAAGATGTGTTATTTAAATTATCTTATTCGTCGACTTATTAATTCTGCAAGAGAGCTAAAGAGCATCGTTGCACTAATAAGACTTTACTCTGCATCGTGTATTACTGGCTTCAGTCGATTAACGGCAATTTAACTTGACGCTCATATCGTATCACATATTGCAGATGCTCCGGCAAAAGGATTGTCATGTCGCCCTGGTATTGCTCGGCTGCGTCATTTTCCTATCGATGACTACCGCGGACAATAGCGTTCACATACTATCGAAGTACGCTCATCAGCCGCTCACCTCGACCACGCTCAGGTGGCTGCCGGTGGCGCATTACAACCCGAACGAATCCAAGCAGATAGTCATCGGTGGTTTCGAGAACGTGTCAGACGGCGAAGGTGCGACACTCTTATTACAATAGCGCTGTCCAACGTCACATTGCTACTACTGTCAAAACTAACAGGATGTTACATTTATGTAGTTCGATGAAGTCGATTTAATATCAATTATTTGCACTTGATGCGCTATATCGGAATTCTGCCTTATTGCTCGAGTTGACCTAAGTTGATGAGGAAATGCTAGAGATATTCGGAAAGATTCAATCGTCAATAATGATTGTTCCCACACAGACGAGACTTATGCCAATCAAGCAGAGAAACCAGAGGCGAGGAGGCCGCTCTACGTGTGCCGCGCAATGCACAGCAGCGTCTGGGTAGCTGGCACGCAGAAGGATAAGGAGAAGGTCTGCACGGTGACGATACACGGCGTTGTGCAATCGTACGAGAAATACGAGCTGCTGGAAAACATCGACGGGGCCGCGCGTACCGCGTGGGACCACTGGGATAGGTTTGTGCAGTCTCCCCTGGGCGCAGTATGCGTCGACAAGACCTGGCTGGTCGCCCGACACATGGTCTCCAAGAACGAAAAGGACCCGCGATACACCCACTACATCGGCACGCTCAGCTCGACCGAGAACTTCGGCACCATCGTCTACGTGAACGAAGTGAGTTTTCAAGATCGCGTTACCTTAATAAAGTCTTGATCTTTAACAGAGACTTAAGCTCGATTCGATGATTAACTTGGGCGTCAGTCAATCGAAACTATTTGTTTCATTTTTCTTTATAGAACGGCAAGGAAGAATCTGCAAAGGCTGGCGAACTGTTGGTGGAGACGGAGCCGATCCGTTACGAGCTGAGCGCCGTTAAGCTCACCTGGCCTAAGCAGCGCGATATTAAACCACGCATATCACGCATACTCAGCAATGTGACGATCACCAATCATGGAATGGAACCGTCGGACTTGGCGGAAGCTTGCACATACACGTACAAGTACGCGATCTACTGGGGTCGTAGACACGCTATCCTTAACGGCCTTAACACCACGATCACGCTGGCTAACGGCACGTCCTTGCCGAACATAACGTGGGGTATGCGCGACGAGAAGAATCGTACGGAGGCATACAAGTGAGTACTATCTATCGCTTCAGCTGTTGATCTCTCTCTTGCATGCGCACAAATTGAAAGTCTCTCACGAAAGTGCGCAGATGAAACAATCTGCTTTTGACAAGAAAGCATTGCGGAGAAAGTTTTACAAGAAAAAATGACAGAGAGGTCGATGTTGAAGTCGGTAAATATCTATTTAACCTTTGGCTTTTAAAAGGTTCTATTCTCTTTATCCTTGAGCTTCGCTTACAATAATCCTTGACACTTCGCGCATTTAAATATATCAGAGAATAATCGCGAGGATTTATGGTACGAAGCAACGTTACATTTAGTCGGTTAAAAAAAAACTCAAACGTACAATTTACGACGGTATCCGTAAAATCTCATCTCTATAATTTGATATAATTAGAGCACGGCTTTATTCCGCGTAGCCATCTCTCTCTCCCCCGTAGACGGCCCCTCGAGGTACTTTGTCGCTTCCTGTATATCATTGAAGCTCTCGCACGGCGGACATGAGACTAGAGTGCATTTTGCGACTTCGTGCCACCCTTCTAGTTCGATGTGTCCTAGAATACTTCGCAGCTTAAGTGACGCTTCAACGCAACGCAATTACGATGTCCGTGCATTAGATCCGCGCTCCAGTTGTAACGTTGCTAGCGATAAAACTAATGACGTATCTGTTTCGAATCTCCTACTTGAAAGAGAACATAAATTTTAGATCAGATTTAACGATGTTAAAATTCTAAAATTGAATTGTTCGATAGAAGCGGAATAATATAACAATGTGAAGAAAAAGAATGTATATTCTATAACTAGATAGCTAATTTTACATGGACATATTTATCAATTCTGAGAATTCCATCACACCTTATTTAATGGTTTCTCGTGAAATGATACTCTGAGAAAAAGGCCGATGAAAAGATAACAAACGGATATTATACCGATCACTTTAATCGGATATCTGATCGGAAAGTTCCGAATTTGGAACTTTCTGATAAGATATCCGATCGATCGATATTTTCTGATTGGATATCTGATTGGTTTCTTTTTTTTTCGATTAAAGTGATCGATTAATAATAGGATAATATCCATTCGTTACCTTTTCACCGGATATTTTTCTCAGGGTATTATTTATTGATCCGACAAATTAGATCTCAAATTCGAAGAAAGAACCTGACGCGTGTCTGTTACAGCGTGGTAGTCTTCCTGGAGCCCGGCACGGGTGTGAACGTGACATTGAAGGCAAATTACACGGACATGGAAGTACCGTACACCGCGACGTTGATCTCGCACTACGAGGACGGCGCGACGATGTCGCGCCCGATCAGCGGCACTCGACAGGAGGAGACCTTGCTCGACATCGTGCCGGAATTTGGGCCCGTCTACTTTCTGAGCAATTACAGCGTGGTGCCGACCACTGTACCACCACCTACCACGACCGAACCGCCGACCACGACAGTCACGCCGACAACGACGATGCAGTCGCAGGAGACGACGCACCGACCTCGACAAATGGGAAACGCGGCAGACACGGCGGATCATGACGAGAATATGATCGTACCGCCGAAGAAGATGGACGCATCGAATATGCAGAATGACGACGGCGGCCCATTGTCGCTCAAGAACAAGGGAGATTATTCCGGTGTCGCGTGCGCGAAGTCGAGCCTCTTGACGCTCGTCGCTTCGCCGCTGCTGCTGTTGATCCTTCACAGAATCACGTGAAGATCCGATCATTGCGCGTCATCTCCTCTAACGTTAATTTCCTCAATTTCCCCGCAATAGTAATATATAACCCAGTAGACGTTCCGAAGGAAACAAAAAAGATTTAAAAAATATTTAAAAAAAGAGAAAAAAAATAATACGCGGATTGAGAGTATTGCTGTAATTTGGTATGCGATTATAGCGTGAACGACCCTTCTTTATTTGAACACGCACTCGCTGAATCACATCGGCACCTCGCGGTGCTGATATGCTTGCCTTTAAAAAAACTCGATATATAATATATATGATACATAAATATCTATACATATATCTTATTACACACATCTTAGGATAGCACAACAAGAAAGATGTATCTTCGCGATTGAAGGATGAGCTAGTCTCGATGAGTCAAGTATAAGGGCGACATTGCAGCGACTATCGATACGTGATTTGGATTAACTTGATCGCGAAACGTTTATCCGTTATACTGTTGAACAGCTGATCGCTGTAACACACTGTGACATTCCGTCTTTTTCTAATCCCGCTGTGAGTCATGACTTTCCAACTATAATGTATTATATCCTATGCCTTTGCAAAATGTAATTCTATAGATCCTTTAGAAGATCCTAATCGCTTTAAAAAAAATGATGGCACATTCTTTAAGAATTATTATGTCTAGGGAGAGAGAAAGAAAGAGAAAAATTATACAATTGCCGCGAATAATGTCTTGGATAAGTAATAGCATAATATAACGTCGAAAGGTGAAGTAGAAGTTAAGCACAACGGAAGACAAAAAAGAGCAAGATATGCGAGTTGATTCAGCTACGATATATTTTTGAGAGATTGCCGATATAATTTTAGACGATTGTAAAATTTATAAGGATAGCAAGTAAGAGAGAAACGTATAGTAAGAGAGTGTAAAAGTGGATGGGTACACTTGAGTTCTCGCAATATTAATTCGATCAAATTCCAAAGCTATATTACAGCGAGACGATGATCGTGCAAATCGCAATATACGCAATATAACACAATAAATATTTTCTTTTAACTTTAAAAGAGCAACAGCCCTGATGCACGATTCGTATGTACCCATTTCTTGCATTCTGTAAAGTGATAGGATATTTGCAAGTATCCTAGAGTACTGTTGAAAAAGAGTGTAAGCGAAAAGATAAAGAATTACTGGTATATATAATAAATAAAATTGTTAAGATATATATACATATGTGTATATATATATATATATATATATATATATATATATATATATATCTTAATAATTTATTAATAAGAGGATAGAATATTTTGGTACGTGTGCGAAATATAAAATTATTGAGTTCAGTTTTGTGAAAAGATTTTTGTTTACTCGAAAAATTAGGAAACGAGACGTATCATTTTTCATACGCGATTGCGTTGTCAGCGTTTTTACCGAAGAAGTTTCTATATGTATATAATATGTATTTCTATATCCTTGATAGTTGTAATTGTGTAGTAAGCTTATTTATATATATCATGATTTATAGATATTTTCTCTATCGATAAATAGAGCGTTACAAGTACAATTCTCTTACATATATTTTACTATTAACCGATATAGGATTAGCGCGATACACTTATTTCGGACTAAGCGGATGCTTTGTCTCCGTGTTTCTAACGACGTTTATCGACGTCCAAGCCTAATCAACCACACTTGTTGTGATATTCAATAAAACTTTATGTAAACACAAAACAAAACTAAAAAAAAAAAAGAAAAGAAAGCACTCTCTGTTGAACAATTCGTTAATTATGAGAAAAAGCAATAATTTGTTGCGAGATGAAAAAGGATTTGCAAAGTGTTGTGAAGAAAAGAATAAAAGGGACGATAGAAAAAAAATTCAAATAAAATTTGTATCCCTATGCGCGAACGATGATATTTCTTCAATGTTCCGAGTAAATGAACACGACGTAAGTACGAGTCAGCGTGTGAGGTAACGTAAATCCAAAGAAGGAAACTGTACGACTTTATACGATTTGAAATCGTAAATCTATTGCTTTTTGACCATTCACCCTACACGCCACTAGGCAAAGACGTAAATGTCCTAAAAAACCTAGCTATCGACTTCGGCAAAGCCAAGAATTCTAAAAATTATTCTATACACGATGCAGATGTATTATTTGTGAATATGCTGCTGTATTGTACATTATCATGTAAATATAAATACTATGTACATACAAAAATTCCCATTCTATTGATTGCAATGTTATCAATCTTTTTTTTAATCAAGTAAGCAAATTTAAATTAAATTTAATAATTATTTGAGTCAAATTTAAATTGTTTTAAAAATAAAATTATATAAGTATCTTGCCAAAATTAATTACAAGAAAGATATCAATAATATCAAAAGGAATATCTATTAAATATCACTTTACAATATTTCAGCAAGCTTTTTATAAAGATATATTGCTCAAATTTTTTGAAATTTCTATTATAAGCATTTTTGCTGAGTTTATGCTTTAAGTTAAAAAAAAATTACAAATAAAATTGATAGAATAACTTTGTGATACATAAGAATTGATTATTTAGACTCAGACGTTTGCTATTTTTCCATGTGTGAAACAGGTGTAACTAAATTATATTAATAATAAATTCATAAGACTCACCAAGGACGCCATATTGTTGTGGAGTAAGTCTTACATCGTCATCTGGACCTCCTCCTGGCACAGAAGAGATGAGCGATGCACGATCACTGATATGACTTCTAGTACTGGCTTCGCTTCTTCTTGCCCAAGATGCTTGTGACAGTACATCTAGACATTTAGCGCAATATAAATAATATTACTTTACTTTGTTTATATAATGATTAATAGCTTATAAAAATATTTATTCAAGTTATTTAATTTTTTAATTTACATAACATGGCAATATTACAAAAGTATTACCAAAATTGGAGTTCTTAGCACTTGCTAATCTCGTTTTGTAATCTTTGAAGGGTCTCCTGGAAGGTGGTAGAGGATGTCTTCGTCGTCTTTTCAAAAATTGTGCCAATCCTCCCAGTAATATTGAACCACTAGCAAAGCAAATGATAAAAATCTAAAAAGAACATATACAATTAATAACAAATTTATACTTTTGCGTGAAATAAATCCGCAATTGTAATAATAAAATTTTTACACGATTGTTATCATATATTATAACTATACAATTCTCTTATCTTTTTTATCATTATGTAACAAAAAAGTGCAAATAATTAAGGTATTTACTATAACCTTGAAAAGCCGACAATTTATTCTTACTTTTTGAGTACGAGAAAAGTGTATCGCCGGTAACGAGAACATGTAACGCTGATAAAGTGTACCGAAGAATTGCCGCACGTTAAAAAGAGCCATTGTCATGTTCACTTTTCTATTATAAACAATATTAAACCAAAACTCACGCGCGCGCTGACAAACCGATGATCGCGGACTCTAGAGAGCGGAAAGAGCTTGCGAAAGCAAGTCATCTGCAGGGAAGCTGCCATCTGCAGAGTGTTATGGATATCTTATAGATCGCGGGAACTTAAATTAGATTTGAAAATTTTTTCTCTCTCGAGTTATAGTTTTTAATAATCATAATACATAATTACATAAAAAAATATTTATATATAATAATCGTTCACTCCATAATTTAGAAAAAAATTTCAAAAAACATACTCATACTGTGACACTTGTATAAACTTTCATTTAAGGATGACAGATTTTTATTTTTATTTAACATAGCAAATAGTTTTTTTTTTCATAAAAAAATAGAGGACATTTAATAACCATTACACATTTAAGCAATATCGTCCCAGCTGCAGGAATCGAAACATTCCTCGTCGATTTCGAGTAATTGTTTAAAATCATTTGTCGAAGTAGACGCTTCTGGACTTGAATCATTTTTTTGCTTATTTTCCTGTGATTGCGACTGCTTTTCCAGCGATAAAGAGGTATTCAAAAAGGAAGTCAGATCTTGTTGTCCACGTTTTTTCTGCACTGTCGTATCAACACTGTCTATCGATAAATCTTGATCAAGACCAGCCGCATTCAGAACATGCAGCTTATTTTTTATCAAAGGCCATATGTAATCGTCTGCGGTATTTCTCGCCACCAAATATTGTATTATAACATTATCGTTTTGCCCTATTCTATGCACTCTGTCTTCCGCTTGGCATAAAATCTGAAATAATTTCATGCAATCAAATAGAATATATATATTTTATATGTAAATCATATATTATGTTTAAATAAATCATGTAAATATATCATGTAAATCATATATTATGTTTGAATATATTATATATATAATACTAATGTGTGCTTCTTGAGATAAATATTAATTACACCAGGATTCCAGAATAATTCGGTGAAGACTACGAGATTCGCGGCCGTTAATGTAACACCTGCGTTTGCAGCAGTAATTGATAAAACTGCTGCCAAATAATCATCCCGTTCTTGAAATTGATCAATTTGGTGTTTTCTCTGCTCCGAATTAGTTTTACCATCTATTCTTATATATCTGTGGAAATTGCCATTGTTTTAATATACGAAGGGTAATAATCAAATGAAAGAATTAAAGAAATAAATTTTTCATAAGTTTGAATATAAGAATATATAAATTATAGATTTATAATTAAGTACTCACTTTATTTTCATAGATTCAGCGACATTGCAAATAGCATCCAAAATATTTTGATGATGAGCATACAAAAGGCATTTCCTTTTATTTTCAAATAAATTGGTAACATAATTGCTATAAATGCCAAATGTTAACTTTGTTGAAACAGATTACCGATATATTTTTGAAAAAATATCAATGTATTATATATTTATGTACATACCATACTGCTTTTAATCTTACAAAACTGGATTCAGTGTAATATTGCAAAAGAGTATTATGCTCTAAACTTGTATTATTTTTCAGTTTTTTCGCCATTTCGTTCATTCGCTTATGAGTGTTGATCAAATCTGAATCTAAAATGATTACTTGCCTAGAATGTAGATATATATAAAAAATATATAAATATTACAAAACTCGTTTAAAATTACTTATGCTATAAAAAGATCTTTTTTTGAAACCTTGTTTTAGATGGCAACTGACTTAACACATCAGATTTCAATCTTCGAATCATGCAAGTGGTCTTCAGCAATAATTGTAACTCTTGCATATTTGAAGAACCTGTAAAGTCCCAACCAAACACATTTTTCTGCCCTGCGCAGTATCGTATACCATAATCTTCATATCTGCAAGACAATATCTCTAATAAAAGTCTGCATATATTTAATATATGCATTTATTATTTATTTAAATACCTTATAAAACGTGGCAAAATCAAACTAATTTGGGAATGCAATTCAATCGGCCTTGACAAAGCTGGAGTCCCAGTAAGCAATACAACATGACGCGCATGGACACATATTTTTTGAGCAGCTTGAAATCTAATAGTCTTATTGCTCTTCAACATGTGAGATTCATCCTGAGAATCATTTACATGATAAAATAGCAGCAGCATTTGTTATCAATTTATTGAATATAACATACCAAAATAACAAATCCAAAAATATGTTTCTCAAGAATATTTACAGCTCGTATTAATATATCATACGAAATTATAATGATTTTAGCATCTTCAATACAATCTTTTCCACTTGTAAAATGACGAACATAATGCATAGGTAGAGATGGTAAGTATTCATATATTGTTTCAGACCATTGATACCTAAATGAAATATTTTTATAACATTAAATTTTTATAACATTATTTCATTACATTTATCACAGAAAATTTACCTAACTGATGAAGGAACTATAATTAAAAGTGGCCAACTTTCTTGAAAGTAATGTGCTATGCCTAATGCTTGTATAGTTTTTCCTAAACCCATATCATCTGCTATCATGCAACGACCACTTTTTGATATACCAAAGCTAGAATAAATTACATGTCAATCAAAATATATATATAGAAATTATATATACATAATTATTGTAGTTATAGTTTACCAAATGCCATCTCGTTGAAAGGGCATTAAACTATCTACTAATTTTTTGTCAATTTTTGATAGGTCCTGTTTGAGTATATTTTTGTGATCCGACTGTAAGCTTTTTTTAAATATCTAAAATAAAAATATCTTTGAAATTTATGCTTTTATATTTATACTATATTTTGTTTATATTATACAATTTGTTTTAATACGTTATCTAATTACCTGGAGAATAGTCTGTGGTATTTGAGTGATAGATATATTAGATTCATGAGGGATTAGTTTCTGCATTAAAGTGTCATATTCATTGATATGAAAATTCCATATTCTAGATTTTACATCTGAAAAATTAAATATAAATATATAACATATATATATATATATATTTGAGTATACATTTTCAAGTTAACCATAACTCAAATAACCATATGCTCTACTCGGTAGTGTTTTAAATGTTTCAATAACTGCAGGTACAAATGAAGATATTTCTAATGCAAATCTCTCGTTGCTGATCATATAACATTTGCCTGTTAATACTGAAGTTCGACTGAAAAAGTTTTTTGTTTCTATAGGATTGAAACGATTATTCTTCCTAATTGATCTCATAACATTTGTACTATTATTATGATTTGGCTGTTGCATGGGACTATTTCTGGGTGTAGTTTGTGTGTTTAATTGGGACTGTTGCTTCCTTGCCAATGCCTGCAAACGCTTCTTTTCAATTTCTTCAGGCGAACATTTCTTATCTATAAAAGTGGCAATTTTTTTTATTGATACTCCAATATTATTCTATGAAAAAAAATATTGTCTTTTAAAGAAGAAGATTATACCCATTTTGTACTCTTTTTCTGATGCATTCAATAACTACAAAAAATAAATATATTTTGTTGTTTAATTTAAAAACAAAATATTCTGTAAATCATATGTTGCGCGTCACGCATGTATGAACAAAAATAAAACTACATTATTATGTTGATATAATTTAATGATATAAATTTATTCGAACCATTTCACTGCTCAAACATTAAAATGCACTTTTTATAAAGTATTCATAAAGAGACTAGACCATAAATTTCCTGATTTTTCATTAAAAAAGATAAACTTCATATTTGTATCAGCTGCGAGGCTAACCGGGTTTTTGACGCATGCGCGGCGAACGTGGTGACAATTCTAGGAGAATGTGAATAAAACAAACATATTTCCCTGATAAATTTCTTGCGCATGCGCGGCAATTATTACTACTGCCGCACATGCGCAAGAAACTTGCCAATCAAACGCTTCGAAATTTCAAGATTATCAGACACGTCCAATAACGTGTCGATTAAATGGTAAGTTTCTAAGACTCTGATAGTCTCTTATAATAGTAGCCAATCAGTACGCTCGATAAAGATAATCTCATTCTTTTATTATATATTGCAACAATTGACGATTCCATCGCAAAGTTATGAATGACACATCGACTGTGTAGTTTATGTACCTACGCGATATATGCAAGCTGATCGTGTAATTACGCTTAATAGTACGTTTAAACAAAATGTTTTCAGTGATAAAAAATATATTACTGTGTTTCGCTTGTTAATAAAATTGTTAATAAATTACAGCTAAATTTAAACATTCTTTAAACATTCGTTATGGCAACACCAAAATTTCCTGTAAAAGAAGCGCAATTATTACGTATGTATTTTTATAAGAGACTTGTAACTCTGACTTAATTTTATAAGATTTACATATGTTAATGTATTATTTTAGCCGATCAACATGAATTTGTTGTGCCAAAAAAGCGTATCAAGATACCGACCGATATAACAGTTTGGCAAAAGTCTGAAGCATATTTTGTAAGATGATTTTTGCATTTATTTATTATTTATTGTAACTTTATATTTTACAACATTATTACATTAGTAGAATAACTTATATATATATATATATATATATATATATATATATATAATTTATATATAAAATATTTTTTTTAGTTCCAATAGTTTTACATAAACATTAATATTTCTTTTATATATATTTATGTATAAAATCTTATTTGTAGGAATACTTGGGATTTATTTTAGCATTAAATGAAGCTGTTCAAGGCAAAGCTTTGGATGCAGAGTATCCACAATCTCCTTTAGTGGATAATGTTATACAGATGTTAAACAAATTTGATGAATGGATAACAGAAATTCCACCTACTGAACAGCCCCAACGATTTGGTAATAAATCATTTCGTATATGGCACGAAAGATTGGAACAGGTCTGTGTGTGTACATAATTGTTTTATTTAAAAATTATTAAGATATAGATAATTTTGATTTATAATTGACATTTTTATTACAGAATGCAATAGAGGAATTAAAGCAAGTATTACCAGAGGAATTGCATCGTGCAATCCTAGAGATAGTTCAATATTTATATGAAAGCTTTGGAAATCCAACTCGTATAGACTATGGGACAGGTCATGAAATGGCTTTTCTCATGTTTCTTTGTTGTATGTTTAAGATTGGTGCATTCAAAGAAGATGATAAAGTTGCTGTTGTAATAAAAGTATTTAATAGGTACTTTTAATTTTTAGTAATTTGGTTTGTTATATTATGCAATTTTATTTTTTGGGGGGGAAAATTGTTTAAGTACTTAAATCGTTTTTTATATATGTTAAAGATATCTTGAGTTGGAACGTAGACTTCAATTAACGTATCGTATGGAACCAGCAGGTAGCCATGGTGTTTGGAGCTTAGATGATTATCAATTTGTACCCTTCATATGGGGTAGTGCTCAGCTTATTGGTATTAATTTTTTTAGTAATATAGTAATAAATCGTATATAATTTATTTTTTCATATTCTCATTAAATTTTCACATTCTTAATATATTTTATACAAATGAGTGTCTGGAAGATCTCTCATAGTACTTTGGAAAGTGATTTGGGACCCGAAAAGATGGAAAAAAAGTTATATAAATAGATAAGTAGATAAATAGATTCAAATTTAAAAATTTGAATTTAAATTCAAATTTAAAAATTTAAAAATTTAAAATTTGAATTCAAATTCAAATTTAAACTTTTAAATTTAAATTTAAATTTAAATTTAAAAATTTTAAATTTAAAATTCAAATTTTTAAATTTAAATTCAAATTTTTAAAAATTTAAATCTAAATTTTAAATTTAAATTTAAATTTAAAAATTTAAATTTGAATTTAAATTCAAATTTAAAAATTTAAATTCAAATTTAAAAATTTAAATTTAAATTCAAATTTTTAAATTTTTAAAAATTTAAATTCAAATTTAAATTTAAAAATTTAAATTCAAATTTTTAAATTTTTAAAAATTTAAATTCAAATTTAAATTTAAAAATTTAAATTCAAATTTAAATTTAAAATTCAAATTTTTAAATTTAAATTCAAATTTAAAAATTTAAATTCAAATTTAAAAATTTAAATTTGAATTTAAATTTAAATATTTAAATTTAAATTTTAAATTTCGAAGATTAAATTTTAAAATTTAAATTTAAAAATTTTAAATTTTAAAAAATTTTAAAAAGAGGGATGCCAAGCGGACTATAAATTACATTTTTTTAACATATTAGTGGTTATAACTCAGAAACGACTTATTTCCGGATCTATTTGTATAGCTTGTTTTCCTTTTTTTCTTTGAGTCTCGAATCACTTTCCAAAGTACTGCGGGCGATTTTCGCACACTCTGTATAATGTAATTATATGATATTTTATATAATATAATATTTTAGGACATCCTAGAATAGAACCCCGTCATTTTGTAGATCAAGCTATTGTAGAATCTTACAGCAAGAAATACATGTTCCTTGGCTGCATTGAATTTATTTCAAAGGTATAAAGAGATATAAAGATATTGTGTTCTCATTGATGTTACCTATAAAAATTGTAAAAACTATAAATTAAATCTATAAAATCTTAACATTTATGTTTATATTTCATTAGGTGAAAATAGGACCTTTTGCTGAACATTCGAATCAATTGTGGAACGTTAGTGCAGTATCCACATGGTCGAAAGTAAATAGTGGTCTTATCAAGATGTATAAAGCAGAGGTAATTTAATGAAATTATCATATTAAAGTCTAAAAAAAATGATTGTGATTTTTATTTCTTAGGTGTTGGCAAAGTTTCCTGTTATTCAACATGTCTTCTTTGGTTCATTATTACCATTAACACCAATGAATGCTCCTCCAAATTACAGAGGAGTTCATCTCAATACACCACCACCACCACCACCATCAGCAACATCACAATAAACAAAAAATAATTTGCGTATTAAATATTATTATTATAGTGGAACGTTTTATTACATTTCCCAATACTTGTAATAAAATTTTACGTTATCTTACACATTTCAATATTCTACTTCTGCTAACTTTGAATGTGTTTCTGTAGCTTATTGAAAAGTTGTGTTCATTTGTAATATATAAAAAGATATTTTCACACATTGTGAGTTGTATGATAGAAGATGTAAAAATTATGTTATTTAATGATATATTTGTTTGAAAGATATTGCATTTAATTGTATTGACATAAAATAATGGAAATAATTTTGTGAGCATTTGCTTTCAATAAAAATACAAAATTTATCGCACTAAAATATTATAAATTAAAACATGCAAGGGTAGAGTATTATTTCATTCTAAATATATTGGATGATATACGTATATTTTTGAATAATTGAAATTACAAATGTAGTGTCGTTCAAAAAATATTCTTAGATACACGATTGGCTATTAAATAGGAATATTTTCGGGAATTTAAAAATTCTCTATTCGAACGAATTACGTGACATATTTAGCTGGAAAGCAAGATACTAGATAAACAAAATTTTTCAATATTTTCCAATGATGCTCCAGTTCTAATATGTCTCTAATCGATGTTTGTTTCCGTGGAAACCAGTGTTGTTCGGCCAGATTTATTGCGCATGCGTCGCAATAACAGTGATTGAAAAAAATGTTCTGTCTAAGAACGATCATTTTAATACTTCGATTTCATTCACCGCTTTAATGCTCTGTTTTTGTATGACAGAAACTTTCAGAAAGTATTCAACTTTTATATTAATATTATACTTATTGTATTAAATTTAATTCATTACGATGTCAATATTCAAGATATCAATTTTTATATTACTTATTATAAACGTCACCTATTGCCAAGATATTGACATTGACAGAAACGGCTATATTGCCTATTGCCCTTGCATGGGACGTTTCGGCAATCAAGCAGATCATTTTCTAGGAGCCTTAGGATTCGCCAAGTCTTTGAATCGTACTTTATTGTTACCAGCATGGGTTGAATTTCGTACAGGAGAAACGAGATCTGTAAGTGACACATTTCCATACAATTTCATATCGTTTGCAACATTTGACATTTGCTGACATGCAAATCCAATTTAATTTCTAGATACAAGTACCTTTTGATACCTATTTCAATGTTTCGCAAGTACAAAATTGCCACAAAGCATTATTGATGGAGGACTTTATGAGGGACATTGCACCGAGAGTGTGGCCACCTGAGGAAAGAGTATGTAAGTTTTAAATATTAATTTTTCTAAAAAAAGATAAATTGTTCATGTCTTTGTAATTTTTTCTTAGCATTTTGTTATTCACTCCGTATGGGAAGCAAGGAAAAGTCCTGCAATGCTAAACAAGGAAATCCGTTTGGTCCTTTTTGGGATACGTATAATGTAGATTTTGTTCAATCAGAATTTTATGGTCCACTCCATTACGATATGTATCACACTGATATGAAAGTACAATGGCGAAAACGCTACCCAGCCGCGACTTGGCCAGTACTAGCATTCACAGGTGCACCCGGTAGTTTTCCGGTTCAATTTGAAAACAAGTATCTACAGAAATGTCTCATTTGGAATAACGATATGCTTAATAAAGCAAAAACATTTATAAAGAAGAAATTACCAAAAGGTGCATTTGTCGGCATACATTTGCGGAATGGAATTGATTGGGTAATTGAGTTGTTAAACTTATTACATTTTAATGTAGAGTATAATTTTAATCATCTAGAAAATAATGTTTTTCTGTTATGTCTTCTTCAGGTACGCGCCTGCGAGCATGTATCATTTACACCGAATCTCTTTGCCGCGCCTCAATGTCTTGGATATCGTAATGAACGCGGCAAAGCAACCATGTCTATGTGCTTACCATCGTTCGAATTAATAGTACGTCATCTGAAACGTGTCATTCGCAATGGCAATGATATCAAATCGGTGTTTGTGGCATCCGACAATAATTACATGCTAGATAAGCTTGGGGAAGCTTTAGCACGTATGAAAGTAAGTTATATATTTTTACATATCATTAGCATATTATTTATTAATCATTATTCTTTTATATTTTATTTTTATATATATATATATATATATATATATATATATATATATATATATATATATATAGATACCAGTATTTCGACAAGAACCGCCAGCATCACCCCATTTGGATTTAGCAATTCTCGGAAGGGCGAACTATTTTATAGGAAATTGCATTTCTTCCTTTTCTGCTTTTGTAGCCAGAGAAAGAGAAGTCAAAGGATTCCCAACATTTTTCTGGGGTTTTCCTAATGAAAGATCTACACATCATTTAGAATTGTAATTTTGTGAAATATGTTAATGATACAAATAATGAATCATTTTTCATAATTTATTATAATTAAATATATTAAAAAACTAATTAACATTAATTTTGGAAATATATACAATTGTAACGCGCACAAACTGCATTGAACATTGCGATATTTCGCAAAATATTTTCTTAATGATATTTCACAAAAAAATAAAATAATATTAAAAGACCAATTCGCCTGACTTACAAGATATTCTATTTTGTGTGCTATTATACAGATATTACATATAAAAATATGAATCTTGACTGCATTTCTATCGCAATAAAACTGCATATTTTTTTACAATATTATTCACTTCCTATGTCTCGCATATCGCAAAGCGTCTGTTGTAAAACATGAGCAAAATCCTTTGTATTAGTCTTTTCGCAAGATTTAAATGAAGAACAGGAGAATAGAATATCTTTTGGTCGTGGATTGTAACAGCAAGCGTAACCATCGGGAACAACCGGTCCATAACACATAAAAGATGCTGTAGTAAATGGTACCTTCGAATAACAGGAAAAAAATTAATTTGCAAAGTTGTTTCTACATTAGAATATCTAAATATTTCAACTCCTCACGTATTTTAAGAACTTTGGTTTTGAATTACCTGACTCGATGTTAAATTGAAATATATACTTTTGGTGTAACCAATATCCTTATACAATTCTGGAAGCTCTATTCCTTCACTCTGTGCTATCATTTTTAAACCGAACAAATGTCGATCGACACCTTGACCTATCGCAGCCTGTGCAAAAGAAATCGTAAACTCTATAGTTATGCATCAAATTATTAAAGTATGATTAAAGATGCGCTATAATTTAAGTAGAGGAATATATCTCACTTGTCCAGCTAGCTCTTTATGAGCATTTATAGCTTTGATCATGATTTCTTTCTTTTGTGCTTTGGTCTTGCAGCCAGCATCATAGCATAACATTTCTGCAAATTCGACAGACTCTGTACAAGTAGATCTGATGCATTCAGTTCTGGAATTAATAAATCTTCGTAATGCCGCGCTTTCGTAATGCGCTGGTGGTTTCTTTAGCAAGTTATAAAAAGTCACTTGCATCGCGATCTGAATAAAACTATCGGGACTCAGTTTAATTGCTTTTATCGCATCTGAACCAAATTTGTCAAATGTAAAACATTCCATGTCTAGATCATTTGAGAGCCTGAAAAAATCGTATTTATTATATTTCTGACAGTTCTAGCATAATATGAATAATTATATATCTTATAAGAATTAGAAAAATTTATAAAAGTTACATTCACTTTGACATTATAAGTATTGAAAGCTTTTGATTGATTAATCAAGATAAACTTCTTTATCTCAATTAGTTAATCAAATCAACACATACAGCTTTAATATTTACATTAGCATTAAGACAAACTCAGCCAGAAATAATTAACTTACTTATCTACTGCATCAGTAGCTTTCTCGATTGCATTTTCTATAACATTATTAATTTCAAATTTTAATAGTTCTGCTCGAGGAAAATCTTTAGTATCTCCGCATTTTGCGCTATTTTCTTTTCCTGCTCTAAAAATAATTAGAAATTTTTATTTATATTATAAAAGAGATAAATTATATTTAGTGATTATTATTTACATGTATTTTAATACATAATCATGAAGAACAGCAACTGGGGTACCCTCACATGGACTATGTTCATATTCCATACCAATATAGCCATCCGCGGATATTATATTCTGCAAAGTATTGAATATTGATAAATTTTGTTTATCTCAATATCAAAATATGATTTCAAATATTTTAATAATTTTATATTTAATTTATTGTTCATATTTATTAATCAGAGATATTTCACCTGGAGAGTTTTATCATGCCATCTGTTTCCTGCATTTAGACAGCTGTTAATGCCTGTTATAGATTGAAGTGCTCTAACTGAAGCATTATTTTTTTCTTTGAAAGCGTCTTTAGGTATATTTTTGTCCAGACACAATATAAATAAAGACGTTTCTATATCCTTGATTATACTTCTATTATTACCCAGCTCTGAAAAAATTTAATATAATAATAATTTAATACATAAAGAATGAAATATTATATACAGAAAAATGCAGTTTAAAGATGCAATTGTATAAAGATAAACAAAAGTAAATTGAAAGAAAACCTAAAAGTAAATTATGATCCTTTGCCCAAGTATCTCTGTCATTTCCTGTTAAAATTCCTACAGGCTTTCCTGGCATACATGAGCGATCTGCAATATCTTTTATAGCAGTCACGAGTTTACCCTCACTTAAAATGCCGTTTTCATCAACAACACAAAGTTTAAAAAACTGTAATATAAAATAGAATATATCAAAGTATATCTCTTTCTATTTAAATAATTATACTCACATGATTGTTGCTTATGATTATTATGTGTTTGGCCTCATCTGTATGCAACAGTTTATCAACCATTTTGTTGGGCTGTCTATGTGTGCCAAGTATCATGCCATAAGGTTGCATGTCAAGTGGATCATTACGAGCCATTTCTTGTTTCATTTTTCCACTGTAATGTCATGATTATAAATAAGTATTAGAGAAAGATATAAAGAAATATTATAAGCAATATAAAACTTGCCTCTTGACCATTTCATTATAATTACATACTCCAGCAATGATACGTGCTGCAAATAGATACACATCTTCTGGTCTGTTGAGAATAATTGGTGGTCCAACAGTTCCAGGACTGGAGTGTACAATCACGGGGATACGATATCCCAAATATGCAACTTGCAACCACCAATCTTTCATCTACAAATAAATATTAATTGTAATATGTTATTTATCTAACTGATTAAAATGCATATATGATAAGTACCCAGTTATCGGTGTTTTCATATCTCTCCAATAATTTAGCATGTAATTGAGGCCCCAGACCAGTATTGCTTATAAATTTATTTACAATTCTCTCTGTATTTTTATGTTCTTCATTAGTCAATAATGGTTTTAAAGATCTATAATTAATAAAGTATAAATAATTTCTTTAAACTAAAATATGCAATAATTATTTATTACTCTTATAGATATATATTTGTTGTGTTAAAAATAAAATCTAGACCTCAAATAACGTTGTGCAGTTTGTTTGAGATCAGGAACAGGTTGTTTAGGAAGAGGTTGTTTATTTAGATTTAGGGTTGTTATAGATGATCCACGAAGAAATGACGGTATTTTGTATAATTCATTGTGAACCTGTTGATGCAATCAATTTTAGAATCAATTGAGAATTTTTAATTCTGTATGAAAAATTGATAAATCTTTGTACTTACTGTATATTTTGATACATTAGATAATACTTTATACATAGTTGGTTTCTCTAAAAAACTTGAGGCTAATCCTACTGTAGTAATGCTAAAAAATAAAAATTGACAATATTATCGATATTTTGAAAGATAAACGAAATTATATATGAAAAATAAATAATGTAAAACTAGTATTAAATGAGTTGAATATTCAATATGGCTCAATTATTTATAATAAATATATCTCTCTGTCAAATGTTGAAAATTTTAAAAATATCTCTGCAGAGAGATGTCACCCACATACATACCTAAATACGCGCGATAATCAATTGACAACCCTACCATTATTTTATATTACGATCAATTGTATACAGAATATATATAGTCACGATGAACATTGGACCGATCATCATAATTGGAATGATCGTATAATATTATATGCATATATAGTATATATAATTTTGCGTGAGCGCACTTAAAATAAATAAATAAAAACAAATATATACATAAATATATCCATACCTGTCCATATGGAAATAAAATTCTTTTCTGCTCGAGCAAATGAAGTAATATTAGTAAATTCATTAAAGTTCGACTTCGAAGAAAGCAGGAATAGAAATGTCACGTCACTCTCTTTTATGAGATGTTTTGCATATGACATTCATTATCAATTTATTATATTAAGGTGCCTTTACATGGGAGCGTTTTAGCGTCGAGCGTTAAAGCGTCAAAAAGTGTGACATGCGCAGTGTGCCTAGTGATTTGTTGAAACGCTGGAGCAGTCAGTAAATCATCTAAATTGCGGAATATTATCAAATATTATCATTATTATCAATATTATCAATATTATCATTATTATCAAATATTATCAATAAAATGTCAGTTAATTATCGTTATCATCAATGGTTATTAGAATGCAGCAGCATTATTAATCATGAATATAAGAAACAAAAAAAAGTTACGTGCACACTCCACACGTTATATCCTATACAAAGAATACATTGTAATAAATAATATTCATGTTGTATTTAGAAAACATATATTTATGCCAATTATTCCTTCTGTTTGGTTATGTTGTAATACGCTACTAATCGCGCAATTCTATAATATATATTGTATAATGATATCTATTATATCTATTATATCTATTATATTTATTATATATTATATATATTAATACATTTTCTATTAAGAATATACAATCTACTTACCTCTACCGTATTTATTAAAATTTTGTTACTAGACATTGTTTTAGCGGTTTTAGCGTCAAGATGCTGGAATCTGCCTGTTCAGAATTATGCGCAAGGGTGCTGCGCACGTGTTTTTGACGCTCGACGCTTGACGCTAAACGCTTCCATCTAAAGACGCCTTTAAGGAACACAGCATATCGAATTCTGTGACACCCGGTATGACATTTTGTCCAATTGAGACTAAGGGCGCATTCACATCTTCACAGAAAGCGAAAATCAGAAAATCAGAAGCCAATCACAATTCGTACTGGTAGTAAACAGTACATTCTGCTCTTCTGTGATTGGCTCCTGCTTTTTTGTTTTTTGATTTTTTGATAAGGTCTGAATGCGCCTTTAGGGAATATTGTATTTGTATACGAATTTGTTGGATGTAGCCAATGGCCGCATTCAGCGGACTCAACAGTTGGCAACATTACTAGATTTTCCGATGTAATTTGACGCTGATTGGTCGGAACTGATAGCGTTTTCGACTGTCGGATTTAATCGCTCCAGGATAGTTTACTAAACGTTATTGACCAATCACAGTCATTCTTCTGAAGAAATATATGGTTACATTCTTTAAAAGATGTCTGTGATTGGTCAATAACGTCTAGTAAACTACTTTGGAGCGATTGAACTCTACAAGTCGGAAACGCTATAAAACTAGAAACCAATCACGTTCGATTGCTACTTAATCGTTGAGTTCGCTGAATGCGGCCAATGTTATAACCTGCCCTTTTGTTCACCAGAACTGTGTTCAGAAACATCACTCGAGTGCTTCCGGGTATCATTTTATCTTTGTTGTTCACCAAATGTTAAACAAGGATAAAATGTACCCAAGTACATTCGGGTGATATTTCTGAACGCAGCCCAGACCTATCAAGATTTTTGCGTCCACATTTTTGATTTCCATCACTGTTTTAATTGCCACTTCACATGCGCGAAAAACCCAGCCCTAACACCGGTGATTAATATCGATTATGCGCGATTGTGTGAAAAACAACTGAATGTTTAAAAAAACATTTCAACGAGCAGATTAAAAGATAACAACTTCGAAACGGTCTTTTTCAAACAGGTATGTCTCTCAAATTCAATGCTTGCTAATGAGAAATGATGACGATAAATATGTATTTCTTTAGCAAATCATGATTTAAGAGAATTATACAAGCGTCTAATTGTATCTTGTTTGCAATCTAACCCTTGTTCGCACATGTGTTAAATCAAATCTACATATCTTTAACCTACACGTATCAAATAATATCTATGTGTCTCAATAACTTTTACGAGACTTTTAAAGGGATTCTTCAATTAAAAAAAAGTTTTTTGTTATCTTTATAAATAATATTTTTTATGTAAAATAAATCGAAACATGAATTTTGTTGATTTTTTTTATATATAATTAAAAATAAATATTAGTTTCTTTTATAGTAATCACTAAGTTAAGATGAAAATGAATATCTGTAATGAAAAAAATTATTGTAATTTATATATTATTAAAATCTCAGAGAATATGGACACAAGTACAGACACAGATGTGGATACAAATACAACAATATCCGTAGATCCAGAGGATCATTCGTCACCCACACTGATTGATGTTATTGATTTAACTAAAGAATCACCAAGAAATAGACCTTCACAATCACGTTATAGATATCCTGAAAATGCATGTACGAGTCGTCATACAACTAGATCATCCAGACGTCTCTTACATAGGGAAGTCTTATCACCTATAGCAATAGGAAGAAGATATGATATTGAACCGTTTGTATAAGATACATCTTGTTTATTTTGTTTATTTCCCAAAGATTAATAGAAATATATAAAGTGTTAAAAAAGATTGCAGTCAAAATAGCATCTTAAAATAATTGAATAACTTTGTACAGTATGAGAAGTTTACATTCCATGTTTAAAAATCATATCTATATGTTTTCATTATATAATCATAAATATAATCATATATCTTTAAAAAATTACAAAAGTAATGATTTATTAATCAAAATATTAATTTGGTATTAATTATGATTTTTAATTAATAATTGTGATTAATAAATTATTGTTCATTTACTTGTAATTTCTATATTTGTTTTATTTAGTATTATATATTATATGATATTTATTTTTGATATAATTTTATATAAATTTTTCTGTCAACTTAAAACTGTCTTAAAATACAATATATAAATTTGGCTTAATCTTTTTATACATTTTATATATACATGATGACATATTATATAAGATTTTTTGTGATTATAAAATATTTTTTTTAGAGATTATCTAGGAAGAATAAGAAGGCATAGTAATAGTGCAAGCAACAATGAAATTGTGAATCTTGATAATACTATTGAAGTTAGAGATGATAAAGAAGAAGCAGATAAACAAGATAATAAAGATAATGAACAAGAAGGAAATAATTGTTACACATTTCAATCAGATGATAAAGTGCCAGTATCTTTAACATGTCCGATATGTTTTGAAATATTATCTTCTAGATTAAAACCCACTACTACTCGTTGTGGACATCTATTTTGTGCAAAATGTTTGAAAAAATCTATTCATAAGTATAAACATTGTCCAACCTGCAAAACAACTATAACATTAAAATCTTGTATTCGTTTATATCTTTAAATATGTACATTACTTGTGAACATTGCATAAATTTTGTACTTTTTTCCATATTTCATATTCCAATACATTTGCATATTTAAAAAAATTTCAATTTTTGTTATTGTTTTAAGGAAACAATGATAGATTCTTAAAAATATTTTCTCCCTATTTTAGGAAAATGTCAGTTAGTAGAAAGTTTAATTTAAGGACAATGTTTTTGATGTTATTATATTTCTAATTCTAATTAATTAATTAAGCTTATAGAAATGTTCGATTTTCAAGATACCTTGTCAAAAGATTATAATTATTAAATTATTAGTTAAAACTTTTATTATAAAATAGTTTTTATTCAAAATAAATATCTACTAATAATTATTACATTATTATTAGATATTTATTTTGAATAAAAATTATTTTATAATAAAAGTTTTAACTTCCATATAACTCTTTTAGAGTCTTATAGTTTTGTATTGTGACTATTTAATATTAATTAAACATTTTATGCTATAATACAATTTTTGCTTCTTTTGATAATGAGATTACCTTAAACTGTATAAACTGAAATGACTTGAAATATATATTAAATTATAAATAAACTAAAAATTTCGTTAACATCTTTATAAATACCTATTTATATAATCCACAAATAATATTTTTTATTATATATATATTTTATATTAAAATTTATTTAATATATATGTAATAAATTTATTTTATGAATTTATATATTTTATATTAATTTTGTTTTATGTTGAATTTATTATAAATGTATTATATTAGTTGTTTTGAAGAAAGATAAATGCAAACAAATATAATTAGTTTATTATCAACTATGTTTCAGATTCATATATGAAATTGTATTATAATAACATTTATATATTTGATATTGTTGATATTCTGGGTATTATTATTATTATTATTATTGATTATCTTTCAATATATTTTAACTTGAATTTTGATTTATATTATTTTGATTATCAAATTCATAATTATTATATTATTGATATTGTATTATTTTTTACAAAAGAATAATTGTTTGTTATTCTCTACATAACAGAACAGGTATAAATTTCCATTAGGATGAGATTTGTTTTAAAGAAGTATTGAGATTTTTTAAATATAAATCTGGTTCTCTGTAAAAAAGGAAGAAGAATAGAGAAGAGAGAAAAATGAAAGAAATTATACATGTTTAAAAGAATATATTGAGGCTATAAAAAGTAACTAGTTAAACAAGATCACAATACTTATCTACGTTAATTTTAATTTATTCTATCGTAATATAAAATGTATTTGGAATGGAACTATGTATTAGAAAACTTTTATCTCCAAATACATTTATTATCATCCAAAATAAAGTGTATCCAAATATCTGACATTGAAAATAAGATATCTGGATACTATCATTTATTTATCGAAATGTAATTAAAATTTATATACTAATATATATTTTTGTAGATGCTCCTGTACTTCGATCTATCGGCAAGACATTAAAACTCGATACATCTATTAATCAATCATGTCATTCGTTGAGAGTCATTCTAAGATGCTTCTCATATGAAAAAAATTTCAATGATTCTGCATTTTTAATGACAGCATTAACAAAGGAAATGAAATTGTATGAAATGTTACCTATTTATGAATCTTATCAGATTGTAGATGAGGAAAAAAAGTTTATCTCAGAATAGAGGCATATTTGCTTAACAATGATACAATGATGAATAAAAGAAAAACTACACAATAGTACAGTATAAGTGCACGAAAACAATTCCAAAGTCCAATTCAATATTAAAGTCACATTTATTAAATGTCAAGAAGATTGGAAACATGCCAAGAACCATGTCTATCGAGTATCCAACTGACAGCTTTAATAAAAGTATATATCTTTGTACGTTCTTAATGATAATAATATTGTTACATGTAATAGAATTATAGATGTGAAACAAGTAAACTTAATTTCTACTCTAAATGAATCTTCAGATATCAATATGATGAATTTAACAAATATAATTTAATATCTTTTATGAAATACAATATTTCAATTTCTTTTTGAACTTTATTCGTATTTACATAAAACAACTTTTTTTCCCCTTACATTGTTACACATCATTACATAGGCTCCAATATACATAATAAACAGCAATGTATGAAAATTTTCTGAATAAATTTTTCAGTTGACGATAAAATGACATTTAAAGTGAGACGAATAATCGGAAGCTCCCGGTGCATTTTCGCAACGATAAAGGGTAATTTCGTGGCGAGACCGTGCGCGAGGAAGCCCACGCAGAATCACGAGATTCGAAATCCCGCGCCATTATCGTCGGGACGTTACTCGCGGCGCTCCTCCGCTTCGTATTGGCCGGGCACGCCTACGTTATGGCGGCGCAGCAGAAAAATGAGGTACACACAGCCCGTTGCGGTGGAAGGGCTGCGATGAGGACGGGTCGCGGTTTTGTTGTTATTTCGCGTATCGAGACGAGTGTCGGCGCGTTTCCTCGCGGCGGACGGTGCGCGGTGCGTGTCAGGTGCGCCGAGGCGAGGGTGTAGAGCTCCTGGTAATCCGCTACGCCAATACTGGACGGCTCTCCCATGTCGTGTCATTGACTCGGGACAAAGTGTCAAAATTTATCCGAGCCCGTTTTCTCCCCCCCTGCCCTTTCCGCGGCGATAGAGAGCAGAAAAGAGAGAGTGAGTGAGTGAGTGAGAGAGAGAGAGAGAGAGAGAGAGAGAGGGATAGATAGATAGATATTAAAATCTCTTCCGCAAATAAAATCTCGCCGCCCGACAATCTCGGTACGGTTGATCGCCGTCCCGTGATACGAGAAGACGCGATCTGTGCGTACGGACGCACGAGCATTAGCAGAAGTAAGGACGTGTATACGCGACAGCGTCAGCGCGCTTTGTTTTCTTTCTCTTACGGCATCGTAAAATCTCGCAAGTCAACGCGTTATTAACGCTTGTTGTTGATAAACGGAGTGACTCCGAAGATTCGCGACGACGTAGTAACGACGTGCATCGTTCGTTATCATCGTTAGCGCTTTATTTAATATTTCTTTTTTAGCGAGAGCGATTTGTTTGATGCGCGAGTTCCCGAGCATCGTGAAAAAAATCTATTATCTGCGGTGTTTAACCTTACCCTTACCCTTGCGCGAAATGTCATTGGACGTATCTCTCTCGTTGATGTGTTTGTATGATTTTATATATATACATATCTATATTTATATAAATTTTTTAATTCATTAATCTATTGATTTTAAGGTTTTGCAAAGGTCACTTTAATCAATTAATTATTTATTCGTTAGATAAAAGTAATTTAAACATTTTATGTGTATATATATATATATTTTTTTTGGCAGGAGCATTGGTAAAATAGAATGTAAACAGTATATATATTGATGTATCTAGAACATTGCTGCTGCAAGTGGAAAATTATTACATTATTACATAATTGTATAGATGTTATATTTTAGCTGATATATATACATGTATAAAATTGTAACTGTTTATATACATCTATTTATAAATATTTGTGTATGTATAATTTCAGACTGTTTGCAATTTGATCCTAAATGCTGAAGTGTTCACAACATACAAATGAATACGTAATCTGTATTGAAATATTACCTGAAATGCACCTGATCATTTATTTAAGATGCATTTAATCAAATTCATTCATCAGTGAGTACATATTTGGCAAAGTTGGAGAGTGATGCCGGTTCATCAGATTAATGTTAATCCGCCTGACTGGCAACCACCCTTGTCAATTGGTCCTTCCAATAACACAAGTCCTGCTGGTGGAGAAAGTTTACCAGAATGGACACCACGGGTAATTCTTTATCCTATTTATCAAAAATTAATGCTTAATTATTTTAAATCTATATTAAATTACTTAAATAGGATAGAATATTCCCAAAATGCCTTTTGTTTGAACTGTGCTTCTTTTCAACTTTATGTCATAGAATTTATTAAAATTTATTTCAAATTATATATGACAGAAAGGATTTTTAAAAATTTAAATTTTAAAATAATTAATAAGTAGTAAAATTACATTATTCAGTTAATTTTAATAATTAATACACGATAATTCAGATGGATTTTAGAATTATAATTTGAACTTTAAATATAGATATATTGTCTTAGAAATATAAGAAACAGTATAATAAATTGTAATCTTATATAAATTGATTTATATCAGCTAAACAACTCGGCTGTTTAAACAAAACATGATCATTAAAAGACTGCATATTATATTTCAAAACTAAATAAAGAAATTGAATCACTTAACAAATTACAGAAGCAATAAAAATATAAAATACATGAAAGAATAAGAAAATAAAATACAAATAGTATTAAAATGTAATATTCTGTTATTGTATATAATTTTACATTACTTTAATAATTAATAACATGTAATACAATAATATAATTTAAAAATATATTTATATGTAGACAAAAATTATATAAAGTATAGTAAATTATAAAAGTACAGTATTTCTTCATCTTGTGAAAGATTTCTTACTTCATCAAAAGATAGTCATTTTCTCATTTCTCAAGCTAGTCATTATTTCATTTCTCAAGCTTTACCTGCTTATCTGATTAATATCTGGTAGTGATTAAGCTTTGCAAATGATATGATCTTTTTCTGATCTCATTGTCAAAATTTATTTCAAGAAAGCAGATGCAATTTCCAAGGAAATACTGTAAAAATACCTTCATAATTAATTTTTTTGTTAATGATTAATAAGTATATTTATTTTAGGAATCGAGTTATGCCACAGTAGTTACTATTATACCGGATCATTGTCATTCATCTGTAAGCACATTATCCTCGACCAACCATGATATTTGCAGGTAAATGAAATGTATTAATAATAAATTATAATATATTTTAATAATTAATTATATTGACATAATATGTACATACATATTGATTATATATATATACGCACCATTTACAATAATTAAAATATATTTCCAATTTTGATTTGGTTATAAGAAAGTTTTATCTTTTTATAAACAGGATCTGCCATTGCGAAGGCGAAGAAGGTGCCCCTTTATTAGCACCTTGCTATTGCAGTGGCAGCTTGCGTTATGTGCATCAGGCTTGTCTTCAACAATGGATAAAGGCTTCGGATACGCGCGCCTGTGAATTATGCAAGTTCACATTTATTATGCATGCCAAGACAAAACCATTTTGCGAAGTAAGTAAACTTATTCTTCGATGTGGAGAAAAAAATAAAATTAAAAACTGAAAAATACCTTAATCATATTCCAACGTACACTAAATATATGAATAATGTATATTATTTGTAGTGGGAGAAACTTGAAATGTCCGCACTAGAAGTGCGAAAATTATGGTGCGCGGTCGCTTTTCACGCTGTAGCCGCTCTTTGCGTAGCATGGTCGTTGTATGTGCTTGTCGAGCGATCCGTGGAAGAAGCTCGTCGTGGATTCGTCGACTGGTCTTTCTGGACTAAATTAATAGTCGTCGTAATCGGTTCTACCGGTGGTTTAGTCTTCATGTATATTCAATGCAAAGCGTACATTACATTATGCAGAAAGTGGCGAGCGTTTAATAGGTATGTATTATTTTCTGTATTTTTCTCTGACGCACTTATATTTCGAATTCAGATTACAATGTCAATCTCTATGTTTCAGAGTAATATTTATTCAAAATGCTCCCGAAAAAGTGGTGCTTCCTCCGTCACCTACAGACTCTTTGAGAGAGGTCACCTTGCCCCTGAAGGATCCAACTGCCTCGATGGCCGAGCTCAACCGCACTCTGCTACCCCGTACCATAGATCCTCCATGTGCCTCGCAGATGTCGAAGACCGATTCTGCAGCACCACAAAGGCACGACGCTCAATTGAAACTTTATGTATTCGACAAATTGTCTTCGTCCGAGGACAATCTATAATATCTAACTTTGAAGATGGAAAGCATCGTACGTAAAATCGCGCGTTAAAGGTGATTAAGAGATTAGCCAAATTTTCAGTTCAAAAGGAAAAAGGAGAAGAGCGCGTTTTCGGACGGAACTGGATAATTTTAGGCTATACGATTTCGGAAATGGAATTATTCTCGTCGAAATCGTCGAATATCCGCCCTCGTGCAGCACCTTTCTTTTCTCGAAACTTAGTACTTCAGTGCTTACAGTGTTGACAGTGAGATAGAGATGAAAGTGTACAGCTCTCGGATGCTGGTGCTTTCTTATGTACATAATTATTGTATCTGTGATGTTATTAAATAAACTTTACCATATTTAAACAATATTTCCTTGTTAATTATATTTTATTTGGAAAATTAATTAATGTTATCTATGAGTAATACACGTTTTCTTACATTGATGGTAAAGTCTCCGTCAGACTCGGAGTCATTTTTCAATCGATGTGTCGCTTGAAAATAAATAAACACGTAAAATCAGCATTTTATCACTTTTATTGCGAGTGGTGGGTAAAGCCGTGATTTTTTATCGATTCGCGCCACCGTCGCGACCTGCCGACGCCAGCGCCACTAGATCGAGTTGCGGCGACGACAGCGACATACTCCGGTGCTCGATGCTGCCGTATCGATTGGTTGATCAGTGTCGCGCGTGTAGCCGTAACGCTCGGTTCCGGTACGTCAATGCGGCAGGTCGTGCGAGGCGGAGCGAGTGCGGTGCACGAGTCGTAGACGAACGGTAAAGAGAGTTTGCCCGCGAAGCGAGTCTAGGAGAGCGCGAGGTGAATCAGCGTCCCGGGAGACGCTCGGGAGTCCCTGGTTGCGTAGGGGCGGCTTCCGCTCGGCGAATGTCGGCAAACACGCTGCCATGTAGCGCCGGTTGTGTGTGTAAATGAAGCGGCGGCGTATACCGCGCTCGCGTGCCGTGGGGAGGGTATCGTCCGCTGTAACCGCGGCGGCAGCGGCGGCGGCGGCAGCGGCAGCGGCGGGGACGGGGGCGATGGGAATGGCGCGCAAATGTTGCGTGCGTAGCTGCGAAGCGGACGTGCGAGAGGCGCGCGCCAAAGGATTGCCGCTGCACAAATTTCCCAAGGACGTCGCGTTGAGGGACAGGTGGTTGGCCAGCGGCGGATTCGACAAGAGTTTCAAGCCGACGCCGGGCCAGGTCGTCTGCCACAGGCATTTCAAACGTGCCGACTACGACCACGCCGCGCGGGGTGGTCACAAGTTCCTGCTCAAGAGGGGCAGCGTGCCCACGGTCTTCGCCGACTATGACAATCATCCCGGTACGTCCCGATAGCGCGCCGACGACCGCCCGTCTCGTGCCGCGACAGCCAAGTGGACGTCGCGAAGTGCAAAACGCACAACGTAGTTACTTCCGCGCATCCGTCTGTCTGTCTCTCTCTCTTTCTCTCTCTTTCTCTCTCTCTCTCTCTGGGTCTCCCCGTCCCTCGCTCCTCGTCCGCTTCGCCGCTTTGCTCTTTGCTCCGCCATGTATTCACCCCTCTCCTCCGCCGTCCTCCTGCTCCTTTCGTCGCATCGTGTTCGATGCGTATACGCGGCAGCTTCGAGTTTGCTCGAGTCGCGTCAAACCGTCCAACCACGTCGCGTCGCGCGCGACCGGCAATTTACGAGAGCGATCTTTTTTCAATGTCGCTTCTTGTGCGATTTCTTCAAAAGTTTCCCATTATTGTTGTCAGGATTGGATCGAATGATAGGCGCGACGCTCGAATGTCTGTGTTCGATTGTTTATTGATAAAAAGTCGCGCGACTCATAGCGCGCAGCGGCAAAACATCTTCATTTATGTATATACTTCTCTATATTAGAATTCGAGCTCTCTCATTGAATTATATAGAGTATCTCGGAAAGACTGAGTATCCTGAGAAAATATCAATTTTTTGTGACTGTTTTATAGCTTAAAAATTATACTGTTATTAATTATAAATATTTCACCTAATCAATTGAGTTAATATTTTTTTCTTTATTCGTAGATCCAGTGATTATGTCAGTAAAATCTTCTACGTCTTATGCGCAAGAAGACTTGGATCTGATCAATTCGGAAATATTAAATTTGGAACATTCCGCTTCACCATTATTGTCCGAAGCTAGGACACCTAAATCCGATAGTTGCGGCGAAACCTGTTACTCCAGACCCGAATCGTCCACGGACTCTTTAAATCTTCCTGATGGTTCAGAAGTAATGGAAAATGAGTGCAAAATGGCAAGTCTGAAGGAAGAAATTGCGACATTGGTGAACGACAAATTGGTTGAAAATTCGGACAATAAAGTAAATACAGTAGCGATGCAACTTGGCATTGTTGAAGCAGGAGCAACAATGAAGGCTGATGTTAAAGATCTAATAATAAAGGAAGAATTAAAGAATATTAAGTTATCTGACGACAAGGAATTTGATAAGTCGGAAGAATTAAAACCAAAGGTTCTAAATCGTGATGGCACAAAGTTTTATCCTGGTGCCAAACTGGAAGCAAAAGACTTTAATGAGAAGTGGCAAGTATTGTAGAATATAATTTCAATAAAAAAAATTAAATGTTGAAATCTACGAAAAAGTTATAACTCTCAAGTGTTTAAAGAATCAACTACAAATTAAAAAAATCAATGAGTGTTGTGATAAATAAAATAAATATATATTGATCAATATTTATAGGTATTCTGCAAAAGTGGTAGAAACAGATTGGGATGAGAGAGAAGTTTTGATACATTTTGACAAATGGAGTTCAAGATTTGATGAATGGATACCAATGGATAGCTCCAGACTTCGTATATTGCAAACTCCACCACAGTAAGTTAATGCTTTGATATAATCATTAAAATGTTGCATCTTGACAACTCGCACTCGTCCATATAATTTGTCTTTATAATACATTCATCAAAGATTTCATCTTGATAAGTTATTCTTTATCTTTCTTTAAAGTGAACAAGCTTGGATCCTACCATCTCCGTAAGTGAAAATTAGCTTAGTTTGTATTAGCAAATAGATGAAATTTGTAGTATTGAAATAATAGTATAGTTTTATAATTTAGTAGCATTTGTTTGCCGTGATTAACAACAATTAAATAGAGAAGATAATTTGAATCCCATAGACAGCTTACATCTCCAAAGGTGATGGTAAATATCTATTCGTCACATCCCCAAGTATCTCAAACACTGGAATATGCAAATAAAAAAAAATCATTTTTCATTACATACATTGAATCTTATTTCTTTGTTATGCGAATATATGGAATGAGGATATTATTTATCATGTTATGAATAATAGATTGTAGAAAAATTTTTTTAATTTTTTTATTGTGCAATATGATGCAATATTAATTGCATATCGTATCTAGCATGGAAACAGTATATCATTACTTTCATTAATATACCTGCTCTGGTTATGTATGTAAATGTATACAATAACACTTGTATTGAAATATCGTCGAATCGATTTTTCAAATTCAATTTTCTAAATTTCTAACGAGGTGAATTAGCTTTGACAGATGACTTGCGAGGCGAAATTATTTCCTTAAAGAGAGAAAATTGAATTGCGACGAAACGCGTATTTTTCTTGTAGCTTTCTCTTTCAAATATTATTTTTTGTATTTCATTTTCGTAATGCGAGGATTTCGCGTCTGCAGGGAGGCAAAGACGCGAGAGTTTTCAGTGGGTGAGAGGGTACTCGCTACGTGGGCGGACGGTAGAAAATATCCGGCCAAAGTTAACGCCGTCTTGTCAAACGGTAAGTGATCCAACCTAACCCCGTAAAGGGAAAGAGGACTGCGTCCCCGTAGATCGTTTGACGTTTAGGGGGCTATATATGTAATCTTTTTTCAACGGAATAGCGTACCTCGGCATACAATCCTAAGTAAATTTTTTTCGCAGACAAGTACGATGTATTATTTGATGATGGATACGCAAAAGTCGTCAAGTCGTCGAAAATGACCAAAATTGCCGAAAATCCGACCAAGGTATGATTCGTTCGATTGAGGTTATGTTGTTGTTTCTTGGTAACTGATATGGATCACGAAAGTTGAAGGAATCTCGTCTGAATTAGTAAAATCGAACGATATCTTTAATTAATATTTAAAATATTTATCGGTAGCTCTTTTCCGAATGTATCGCGGATTGTGTAGATTCGATGCTATTTTTTAATTATTATCTCAATAAAAGTTGATTGTGTAAAAAGTGATTTAATGAGACAGGCTAAAACAAGCTGGATTTCTTCAAACTAAAAAGTTTTTTTACATATATACAACATAAATCAGTATTATATTACACTTTTTGTTACTTGACAATTATTTCTTTGTTTTTTTTAAACAGCAATTAAGTGGATTGGAAGGGTATATAGGCAGCAAACAAGAAAGAAGGGACAAGAAACGGAAGCATACAGTTATGGAGTTGTTTAATACTCACTCGAGAAAACGTACGAAAAATGATGCTGACAAAGCATTGAAGAAAGAAGAGACTGTTGTCAAGGAAAGTGAAGAAAGCTCTATGGAAAATAAGGTCGAAATAGATGGCACCTTATTTGGTGCCTGTTACGACCCAGGTACAAATTTATTAAGAGGATTTGAGACTAATCCCTCAAAAATTAAGTCTTATTCGAAGAAAAGTAAAAAGGAAATATCTAAAAATGATACGGATCACGAAGAAGATGTTGGTCCTGAATGGATTGATGGAGAGCCACAAGGAACAGAATCCTATATTGTAGATGGCAATGATGGTGAGTTGCAATACACAAGTACTATTTCTCAACAAAATACATTTTCTCTTATTTTTAACCATTAATATATATCAATAATATTTCAATATATAATGTCAACATTAATATTTTAGGACCACGTCGCTCTATAATAGTGCCAGATAGAAGATTACCTTCTGGTTGGGAAAAACATTTTACACAAAGGAAAGCTGGTACATCTGCTGGAAAATGGGATGTTTTATTTATACAGTAAGATAAGATATACTAATTATTTCATTTTCTAATTATGTTAATACAATTTACACATAATTACGTTTTTGTTTTAAAGTAAGCAAACTGGGAAGAAGTTCAGATCCAGAAATGATATCAGAGTATTTATGGAGAATCAAGGGCAATATGATTTTAATCCTGAAAATTTTGACTTCTGCATACATCGTAGAAAACGAAATCATGCATCTCGCTCAAAACAAGAAGTTACACCAGAAAAAAAGATTAAAACTTTATTACCTAAAACGAAAACGTTATCTACGCCTGAGAATACATTGCAAGTGACAAATAATACGACTACATCTACGCCTAACAGCTCAACGCCTGTTACATCTACTACGGATGGTGGTAAGTTTTCTGCAATATATTACATTTTAATTTTTGTATCCCATTTTAATCTTTAAAATATATCTTTTACATCCCACTCTCTAATTCATCAGAAATGATTTATTGTAAGTACTTGTACAGATACTGTATTTTTATAAAATTGAGTAAATTGATGATTAATTTCTTTATATTATAATTATATAATAATAGTGAAAGTAAATGTATATGTTATATGTGAATAATGTTTTATAATTTATAATTTATTTATAATCCTTAGCCTTTTATAAGATTATAACTATTTTGTTATAACTATATTGATTATAACTATTTTGAAATAGCCGTTTTCATTGGACTTCGTGGTGGACTTCGTGTGGAAATGGAAGACAGCGCCTATAAATGTCCCAAGGAAGGATGCAATAAAAATTTTCGAAAAGAAAATTTGCTGCAAATGCACATTAAGCATTATCATCCTGAATATTCCAAGTTTCTGGGTTCTACTCCAAAGGTTGAAGACTTGGCTTATGCAAGAACAATTGGGGAATCTATAGATGATATTATTCCAAAGAAATCGACGACATTCTTAGACAAAATAAACAAATTTGCTAAGAAAAAATCTCTTCCGGAAAAATCTACATTATTACAATCAACATTGAATACTATGCAACCGGCGTCTCCTTCAATATCTAGCTCAGTTATGCCAGAATTAGAAGAGGAAATAGATCAAACAGAAAAGTGCAATGATTTGCAGAAGGAAGATATGAAAATTGAAACAATGTCTTCCATATCTAATCATAGTATGGAGATGGATGACGATATCGAAAAGAAAAGAGAAAATATTTGTGCATTGTCTCCTGGTACATTATTTGACATGAAAGTTAAAGAAGAAAAAGCGCAAGGCGGAATTAAAACATTATTACCTGTAAGACCATCCACAACAGAGGTGCAAAAAATCGATAGGACAAAACCCTTGGATGAAATAACACACATTGAACGTACAAAGGGTCAAAAGAAGAGGCAAATATCCGAACACAGTATAGATTTACCGATTAAAGGAAAGAAACGACATGGTAATTTGCTTTCAACATATTAATTTATCACAAGTTTTAAGATTTTATTAAATTACAAATAAAAATATTAAGTTAATACATAACATTTGATATCTTGCATTTTGCATAGGTATGTCAGATCTTACTGACAATTTCGGTGATTTAGATGATAGTGCTATGGATGTCGAAGGACCTGCAGCACTTATGTACAGATATAGCCGTAGAAAATCCGATTCAAAGAGTGATGAGAACAGTCAGAACAGTAAGTGCAAGTATTTTACCCTGTGTACCTTATAACGCAATGTTACCAAAGCAATTGTTTTGATTTCTCAGACATGCTTTTTTTTCTAATTTAATGTATAAATGGAATATATGGGATTTTTTTAATATAATATATTTGATAATATTTACTATTGCATTATTTCTTTTGTTTCTTAGGTCAACTAAATGATTCTCGTATTGAAAAAGGTGATCCCTTAAAAGGGGATTTAATCAAAACAGATATTAATAATGATACAGAAGGTACATTGTTTATTTTTTTTATCTTTTATTGATTTTGCTTTTTAATTTCACACTGTCAATTTTATTTTATTTTATTTATTACATTTTATTTGATAAGAAATTATACATTAGCATATATCTCTCGACATAGATGTTTCTTCACTATGAATATTTTGTATAAATTTTTTATGCGAGCATGTCATGATTTACTATCACAGAGAGCGAAGGAGTGATGATGATGATTAATGGTGAAATGATAAAAGTGGAACAACTTAGGAGAGAAGAAATAATAAACTGTACATGTGGTTTTATGGAAGAAGATGGTTTAATGATACAGTGCGATCTTTGTCTTTGCTGGCAACATGGTCATTGCAATGCGATTGAAAGGGAAAAAGATGTTCCTGAAAAATACATATGCTATATATGTCAACATCCGTATCGGCAACGACCATCTAAGAAATATTTTCACGATCAGGATTGGATTAAGGAAGGAAAATTGCCAAGGTAATTTTTATTATGCATATGTGTGTACAATTATTTTATATATATATATATATATATATATATATATATATATATATATATATAATCTCACTCGCATATTGATTTTTCAATTTTTAGTTTACCTAATCGAACTCGGAATCAGCATATAATCAATCAGAGGACCGCGATGTTGAAACGTTCTTATGACTTGGTTGCTGCACTTTTGCAAATACAACAACTTCTTCATAGCTTGCGTGTAAAAATTAATGTGGCTCAGTAAGTGATATGTCTGCTTATTTAACAAAATTTATATCTGTTATAATAAATATATAATTATATAATATTTATAACATATATAATTTGTTTAAATTTTTAGGAAAAAAGATCACCCTAAATTATATCTTTGGGCTAAAAATTGGGAAAAAATGGAAATACCAAAAATAGATATAGACCCAGTACCAATAATGGAAATAGTGAAGGCAGGACCGAGTTTTACTGATGTGGAAATTCCACGACGTGCTGAAATAAAAACGGATGTCAAATTATCTGTTAAAGACGATCAAGATGAAAAATCAATCGCTTCTGATTCGGAATTAATGAAAATTTTAGAAGAGGATAGTACGCATTCCGATGAATCTAGGATTATCAATAAAAGAGAAGGTTTTATAAACTCAAAGGATAGTCACATACTTTTGGACGCATTAACGAGCGGTAATTCAGATGTAAAAGAGAGAAACGTCGCTATGTCAGACATTAAAACAGAGAACGCAGGTACAGTAATGTAGTAAAGTAAAAAAAAAATAATAAAAATGGATAAAGTATTTTTTCATTATTATATATCTCTTATAATGTATAGATTTTTTGGCTGATAAAACTATGAATGATAATTCTACATCTGAAAGTCTTTCTCTCAACTCGGGACCGCTTATTGATAATATTCAAGAATCGAGTATAGCCGACGTTGAAAGCGAAGTCTCCGCACTCCCACAACCTTTTATACCAGAACCCGAAGCGCCGATTGATCCAACCGAATGCCGAATGAGATTGTTGGAACATATTGAACATTTTCAATGCCATATTGATTCAAGATTAACGTCTATAGAAGCACAAATTTGTGGTAAGCATAATAAAGAGATATTAGCTAGAGAAAGTAAAGAATATATATCGCAAGATGTTTAATCAAATATTTATTGTATAATTTTAATGCATAGCTCTAGAGGCAATGGATCCAGATGAACTTGCATCGGATCCACACGTTCAGCCTCGTACTAAACAAACTGTACAGATGCTCCTTCGTGACTTGAGCACGGTCCGGAAACTGGCCGCATTATGTTGAATACTTAGTCAAATCTCTGGAAAAACTTATGATATATATATACACATGTAGATAGAAAAGCGATAATTGATATCCATATAAGCAACATCTGTATTTATGCTATCGAGTAGAGATAATTATATAATTTATTGTTACTGTTATAAGATAAAATTTATCTTTCTGACTTTAAGCCGCCTAATCAAGTTGCTTAAACTCGTAATTAGGATTCATTGAAATTGTAATATAATTAAAATTGTTATTGTTAAAAGTGAAAATAACAAGATATTTTTTAAACTCACTCATGTACTTATGTATATATATCCTAATGATTATATAGCCTGTTTTTAATATTTATAAAATTTATGAAATTCTTGTTAATATTCAAATCTTTTCCATAATTTTGTATTACAATTTCTATTTTAGATTATAATATATAAAAGTAGTATATATATATATATATATATATATATATATATATAAATAAAATTGTTGATTTTTACTTTTAATTATTTTATTAAATATATCATTATTTTTTCTCATAAATATATAAGGATAATGAAAAGTACCGACAAGGCATGTGACGTGGATAAGTTGCTTTCTCTTTTTATCTAAATAGATTTACTTATGAAATTTCTCTGATAAGTGAACAATGAAATTTGGGCGATTAATGACAAATAGATATCACGATGATGCGCGTTACTTTCCAAGCTTAGAGTATTTACATATACGAATGTATGCTCGCACATACATACGGGGTAGTGATATGGTAAGCATACACGCATACATACATACGTATGTATGCGATACAATGTAGTAAGCTTGGGGAGCAACGCGGATTCTTGGGTGTGTGATTTTTGGTCGCCATGTTGGTTTAGCCCAATTGACTGACGTCAGCGAACGCTTAGCGGTGTGCAATCGCATAAACACAAAGACGGATGGACAGAGATAAAACGAGCGATGCGTCGCGGTGCGCACGCGCGAGCGTGAAAGGAAGACGAAGAAGAGGGGGGGAGAGACGTGCGCGATCCGTGGCAGTGCACAACGTCGGTCAGTCGGTGCAGTCTGCGGTCGTCGACGGATGCGATTGACGCGAAGGACGTTGCGTGTGGGCTCGGCTCGGCTCGATTCGGCTCGTCTCGGCCCGTCTCGGCTCTCGATTCTCTTGCTCTCGCATCCGTTATGACGATATAGTGATCCAGTATCCACCAGGCGTGCTAGGCGCTCTTCGCGTCTCGGGTCTCGGGCTCGTCTCTCTTCTCCGGCGCAGAAAGTGAGAGAGAGAGAGAGAGGGAAAGGGGGGGAAGGAAAGAGACCGCGTTATATCGAACTTGGCGCACCCTTCGTCGGTTCGCGAAAAAAAGCCGAGAAAGGAAACGCGATGGAGTCGGTTTGACAGTCTCTCCGCTATTTTATATCTCGCTCTCCTTCGGGTCGGGCACTTCCTAGGTGTGTTCGCGCGCGCCATGTGCCGCGCCGTCACCATTCCGCGTGTGTCTCCTCCCTGCGGATCGTCGTCGCGAGGTGTCGCGTAGCCGTACGTCAGGTATCGGCCGAGTGCTTTATTCGTCGGTGCTTCTCCAAAAGTGTTGGTGCACGCGAGTGAAATTCAACGATTGCGCACTTTTCTCTCTCTCTCTTCTCGCCCTCGTATTTTTGTTCGGCTCGCGAGCCGTAGAGAGAGATAGCCGCCAGAGAAGGAGGAAGATAGAGAGATAGAGAGGGAGAAGAAGCAAGCGATAGATTCGCTCGTCGGTGTCCAGAGTATCGGCGAGCCCCGACAAGCAGCGGACAAGAGAGATAACGCGAGGGAGCGCGAGCGGCGTATATCAAGATGGCGCATAATTTGGCACCGAGCGTCAACTGCTCGCTCGACGACATTGACCTGAACGCTCTGAAGGTTCGTAAATACAGGGATTAATCCGCGACGCGACGTTTCGCGCGAGGCGAGGACGAGGAGTCGCGCAACCGCGTGCATCGCGTTGTCCCGGCGACCCCCGGTCCACCTGAACCCGGTCTGACTCCTCCTCTCGCCCCCTTCCTCCCCTCTTCCTTCGGACCCGCCTGGTGTCACGCGCGTCTTATTATACGTGGTGATTAACCTCGCGAGAACCGACCACAACGACGACGGTGACGATGAGAGGAAAAGCAGAGAGAGAGAGAGAGGAACGTTCTCCTTGAATTTTTTTCTCTCTTCCTGTTTTTCTCTCTCGCGTCATTAATGTCGCGTGGTCGAGACGTAAAGGTGGAAAAAATCGAGCGACGTTCTTGGTGCATTCGTGCACATCATCATTGACAATTAGCGATTGTCAGAGTCGATTCGATTGCATCAGTCTTGATATTTCTTGCAAATGATTATCGATTAATTTTTTTTGTAAAATCTATGTAAGAAGATTTATGTAAGACAATTTCATCTTATAAATTTATCTCGATGATATGTATACGAAATAAAGACTACGTCTAGCGATACTCGTTGACAATCTGACAGAGACGTCATCTCGTGAAAAATAAATTATTCCGTTTTTTTGTCTTAAAAAAGTAAATAATAGAGAAAATTGATTTTTTTTCTTCATTTCGAATATTAGCATAAAACTTTATTAAAAGCGTAAAATTAGAGTAGATGCAAAATTATCATTTAATTAGATACAAAATTGGAGGATAAAAAACGAATAGTTGGTCACATTGATTGAAAACGCATCAATTTCGTTTTGATACGTTGTGATTTATAAACATCGAATACTTTTGTCGAGTGTTACGCTTCGATTTGTATTTTTACGTCTATGATCTAATGTCACATTCAGTCGCAGTCTGCTTTTAAAATGGCTGACAATTATATTTTACTTTCGGGTCTCAAATTTGTCGCCAAAATAAATATTTATTTTACTAGATTTTGTATCTAAAGGAAAAATTTCTTTTATATAAGTATTTTTATTCAAAAATAGATTAAATCATCACGATATATTGATTCAAGATTTACAAGATAAACAACATCGATAAATGTACTCGAAAACTTATAGAAATATTATCTTTTTACTATTGATCACGCGTTAGACGATTGAAATCATGGAGAAACCTAATATCAGAGTTCATTGAATTATTATTCAAGTTTCACATATGTATATTCAATTATGATTTTTACATATGATTTTTATATGACTTTTCTCACTTTAATAAATAATTATCTTGTCGAAAAGTATCTGTCTCTTTTCAATACTATTTTATTTCTACTCATTTTATTCTTCCAGAGAAAATTTTGAAGTCAACTTTTAAACACTTTCACGCTAGTAATAATCGCAAAAATTTATCAAAACGATTCAGCAAACTCGATATTATTTTTCATGATGAAAAGTAGTGTTTATATGTTCCAAGTATTAATTAGTTATTTGTGTTTTAGGAGCCTGCTGGAATTTTTGAACTAATAGAAGTGGTCGGCAATGGAACCTATGGCCAAGTTTACAAAGTGAGTAACTTGAAAATTATTCGTCTCATTAAACTACTCAAATATAATACATATATTACATAATATTTAGTAGGAGATAATTTCATATTTATTTCTCTCATATAAGTATCAGTACATTTGATTATTTACTGGTTTTGCCACCTATGTCTGCGATTCGCTAATTATCGATTTCACGTTGGCGTGACGACCTTTTCTGTGATATTTTAAATTAATAAGTAGACATCAAAATGATAGGATAGAAGGAAGAAAATGCTGATAACGCGCGAATAATATCTCCGTGAGAAAGAGAACGTATCTAAGAATTTCGCGCATATCTAAATATTATTTCTGAGTAACAGTCTTGAAATTCTTTTAAATCTTTTTCTCGAATAAATAAATATATTTCATTAAGATTCACAATGATTTTGAAAATCACAATTATTTATTGTCACATTGATATCGATAAAAAGAATTTGCAACGTTAATTTTTCAAAAAAACTATCTTTCTAAAATTTCTTGGAATTATTAGAGAAAATATGGAGATACAAAATGTATTACATAAATAAAATTACGTGAAGTTATGATATTTTTTTAGAACATAATATTGACAAAATGATATCGAAAATTGATATCGATGTTTGGGCAACTGAGAATGCGTAAAAAATTTCTTTTGTCATACCCGTAAAATTTATATTCTATAATGCATAATATATTCTAAATCATTTCGCATATCTAAGGATCACGTGTGTAATTTTCATATCTATACATTAGTTATCGTATTTCCCGTTTGAGTAATCTATATAACTCTTATCTATCAGGACCTATACTTATACTACATGTCTGTTTTCCGTTTTAAGTACGTTATCGCGGGTCTCGTATCCGTTCTGTAGAAATCTATACTTGTGTACCACATTACTTGCGCGTGGGAAACTTTCATGTTTAAGGTGATACGTAGCGTGGCATTACGTTGCGTTCTCGCGATAGGTATACTCGTGTTCGTTTTACACCTCAGCATATAAACATAAGAAGGTTCCTTATGCTAAGAAGGCGCGATAAACGTTTTCTTGCGCTGTATCAAAAAAAAAAAAGATAATGATGTCTTCTTCATATCGAGAGCTGACTTACGATTGAATTAGCGAGTTCAGAAGCAAGCATCATGAATCACACAGCAGAAATGCTTACAAGAAATAAAAATTGCCTTTCTCCGTTTCTTATACGAGTTGTCTTTCGCGACAAGTTCCTTTCGTTCCAGTTTTATATCTTGCAGAAAATATCCAGACGGTTGATGTTATTGTCTCGTTCTTTCATGATAGACATATCACTTGGAATTGTAAATGCCTTCTTTCGCCTTTCAAACATACCTATCACAAAATAATTCAAACAATTTGGAAAATTATAAGAGAAAATAGCATATTTATAAAATTATACATGTGACAGAAAATGTATACTTTCTGTTGAAATATAGTTTGAAGATGTGGATAGTTTTGTGTGGGAAAAAGAGGAGAAAGAGACTTCTTCCTCACCTGTAACAAAGAACGATGATGATTCACTTCGAAAAAATTCTTCTTGACGAGCTGTGGTTGGGAGAATATCCCAATGTGATCGTATAAGAAAGAGAGAAATAGAAATAGCTTGAAAATTCCGCGACCGGAAGGATGCAAGGACGCAAGCACGTTATATATAATTTGTATTATTAACATACCTAGAAAAGAATGAGCTTTTATTTTAAATAGAGTTGACAGTCATTCAACGAAAAAAAAAAATAATAACCGAGTACAACCGAACTTATTGCTATAAATCATACATGCATAATCACATGTATTATTCATGCAGAGGGATTAAAATTTGAACAGAGAACGATGAGAGTTACATGTTACAATATGAAATATCTACAAATGCAAGTTCAAAAAACAAATAACACACAATTTATAAAAATTATTATATTTATATAAATTTATATAAATTATATTTATATTATTATATTTATATAAATTTATATAAATTATATTTATATTATTATATTTATATAAATTTATATAAATTATATTTATATTATTATATTTATATAAATTTATATAAATTATATTTATATTATTATATTTATATAAATATTATATAAATACTATTAAAAATTATTATATTAGTAAAAAAAACCTCAATTTATAATGCATTACATTTATATATAAATTTCAAAGTAGATTACGTTTGTATCGATGTCAAAATGGCAAGATTTAGACGCTAGGTCCTAGTATTATTAATTAATTTCGATAAACGGAAAATAATTTTTGTTATATATCGAAAAGAAATAAACGATAAAGACGATAATATAATATAATATAATATAATATAATATAATATATAAATATGGTGAAAAAGAAAGAGATAGAGAGAAAGAGAGAAATATTACCGATGGCAATTCTCCTCTCTCTTCCGCGAGAACGATATCAAAATGAAAGTTGTTCTGGCACAATTAATTAATTCACGTTATCCGCACCCAGACGATCCGGCTGCATTTATCGTGCTCGTTCGCCTCATTTGGTTCACTTTGACGATGACCGGTGGAGAAAATTCATACTCGGGTCTGGACGATCTGGGAAAAACAAAAGGGAAAAAGATTCGCACAGAAATTTTATAAACGCGCCTTCATCGGTCGCAAGATGCGTATCCCCTATTGCGTATCCCCTATTCGCATTCGCATCTCTCCTCCACCTTGTAGCACTTGTGCTCTTTAAACGCTTTACTTTCGGGCTATGCGGAGATAGAGAGAACGAGAGGGAAGCGGAGGACGAGGACGAGGACGATGACCCGTTGCCGATGACGGCACAAAATGAGCCGAACACGCACGCGTGTGCGTGAAAACTTGAATACGACGACGAATGTGATGCGCGCGCGCGCGCGCGTGATATCTTGCACACGAATCATCATACTATCTTAAGATTTATAAGAATCCAAAGATTGATAAGATTATATTAATTTAAAAAGAATCTGATTCAACGTTGATTAATCTTTTTCGTTGTTCCCCTTATTTCCGTTCACAGTTTTAGGCAAAATCTGGTTGAATCATACTGATTTTTTTCGTCATGCCACTAACCGCAGCAAAATAAATCCATTTGATTCAATTGGACACAGAAATAAAGAGATTTAAGTGCATTTTCGCTTCTCGCTAATTCTTTTATGAAATAAGAGGGAGATAAATTATTTAATTCTTATCAGAAAGTTGAAAAAAATTCTTTTATATGAAATGTAAAATATTTACTTAAATAAAAAAAAGATAGAGTTGAATAAAATACAATGAACATTGGAATGCAAGATTTATCGAGAACGAGAGTGAATCATAACGCTCACATGCATAGCAAATCGCAGATAAAGTTTACAATAATTGTATAAGTATTTGTACAATTTTATATGTTTTATCGCATATTCGATATTAGAGTTTATAATTAAACTTATCGTAAAGTTTATACGAACATTCTTCAAAAAAAAAATTGATGTTTTTTTAATTTCTTGATATTATATGTATGAATGTATGAGTTGAAATAACTTTGAGATTCTAAAATTTTTCAACATTAGGAAATATAATTAATATAAAATTTTGCACATTAGGTAATATTTAATATTTATATGAAAATAATAAATTGAACATATTTCTAAAGAATTATTAATTTTAACTTAATTAACGCACGTGCGGGTTAATAAATATGTCATACATATTGCATTGAGTTATTGGAGCAGTATCTAACAGAATGGAGAAATTCATGTTAAATTTTTCAAATGACATAGAGTAGTTTTTGACAAAAAAATAAAATTAATAAATTCATATTTCAAAACGTTGCAATAAATGTAACTACTTCTGTGAGAGCAGTCACAAAATATTTATAACATTTATATTCTTTCTCTTTCTCTCTCTCTTCTCTCTCTTTCGCTCTTTTTTATATAGATATATTTTATATATAAGTATATTTTATTTATATATTTTATGTATTTTATAAATATATGAATGCGAAGCATAGAAAAAAATGATGATACATGATATTGTTAGTTTAATTAAATAATCATTCTCTTTACTATATACATATGTATGATTTGATCGAATGCGTTTTACAATTCAAACGTCACTTCCGAGCAATTGATTCGTGCCACTTCAAGACTATTCAGGTAGATGATTTTCTTCATAAGTTTTTACTTGTTCGTGCTGACACAGGAATAATCGAGAAATGATTTTGTCTCATTTTCTTATTTATCAATATTTTAAGACATCGCATTTTTTTTAAATGTCACATTTATTAATGTATCGATAAACTGAATGCACACAGTGTGTTTATCATAGATTATATTTTTATCTTCCTATTATTTATTTTTCTTAACACTATCGGAGACCATCTGTTACTTATATTTCGAGAAAATAAGCTGCTATCGAAATAATGACAATCAATAATACTAGTGTAATGTTATAATTTGTCAGGTATTATCACTGTAAAAAATAGTTATCGTAATAACCGTTAATAGTTATCGTAATAACCGTCGTGTAACGTAATAATCGTTTAACTTAATTTTTCCTATTGAAACGTTGCCTGGTAGAAAAATGAATTCTACCAAAATAACAGAAGAAAGATTTTTTAAAGATTTTAAAAAATAAAATAACGTTTGAAGGAAACTCTTCTTTCTGCATCACGTGTCCTTCCTCGGCTTCTCACCTCGCTTAGAATCGAAAACTTTTAGGTCTATACGTCAAGTAACATTTACACGTAGGTGGAGATTCAGAGGCGTGCGAGAGTAAAATTTTTCGCCGAAGAGCGAGCGAGACCGTGTGGCCGACCCTCTTTGAGAAGATAGACGGTCGAGACGCGCATAGGTTGCGTTTGTATGCGTGCGGCTTTGTAGTTGAAAAAAGGCCGAAGGCGCATAAAAAGTGCGGTGACGCTTTTTTTCGCCACCCTGCTCGCTCTGTCTCTCAGCTGCTAGAGGGACAAAGAGAGAAAATGAGATGCTTATAACGATGCGGGGGATGCGTTTTGTTTCGCGCCAATTGCAGCATGTGCGTCATTCTCTTTTAATAATCCATTCAATGTTCAACTACCGTAGGTGGTTGTTTTATCGATAGGTTAAACGATGAGGGAGTCGATACTGCTTAATTTGCGCGAATAAGTAATAGCGTGTTATGGAGAGGATATTTATAGCCGATGATTAACTTTATAGGAGATAAGTTTTCGTACAAGCCCGTACCCCGCATCATCTCGGTGCTTCGGGGTCTTAGATGTTTAACGAATGATAATGACAATGCGCTTTTCTGCTCCGCAGGGTCGACACACCAAGACCGGTCAGCTGGCGGCTATCAAGGTCATGGACGTCACGGAGGCAAGTATTCGGTTGCGCAGCTTAATTACTTTCTCACTTCGCGAGGTTCACAATGTTACGGCACTTTGTTTCACTTCACCATTGAAAAGTTAGAATTGCGGTCGCGAGATCGGTTTCTCGGAAATACGAAGAGTTTCCCGCGAGAGTAAAATATGATGCAGTCATTCCGTAGTGTACGAGATTCTGTTACGCGAAATTTACGGATCTCGGGAAAGATTCCTTTCAATTTTGGAAAAGAGATGTAATGTCGGCGTCTTGCAACCGCAGATAGATAAGTTTCTATCAGTATGAAGGAAACGCATAAAAGGCTACACGATATACGAAACGATTCTAGAGAATCATTATCATACCGATAGAAGACAAAGACCATTTCTATGAATTTATGAGTGATAGAGATTTGATGATTCGACATTTTTCAGAATTTAGAATTAGTTATGTAACCAGGCAGATATATATATATATATGTCTTAGTAATGCTTTTTTCGCCTAAAATTATTGCAAATTATTGTTTATTTTCTAAAATTATTCTTTATTTTCTAAATTGACATATCTGTTTCTGAATTTTAAATAAAATATTGAATAAAATGAACAATTAGATATTTAATTAAATATTTGCAATCGTCTAATACTCGAATAAGTTATTTGCGCAATGAAATTATTTTTTTTTATCATCTTCATTAATTTAATTTATGAAGGGATCATTTTACAATTGCGATACGATCATCTCATAGCGATATATTTGTGTAATGGAATATTCCTGATAAACAGGAAGGAGAGAGGGTGGAGAGTTTTCTTTCGTTCTCTTGTTCTATTTATACCTACAGCAAAGAAATTAAGAGATGTTATAATATTATCATTACTATATTGCACTCGTAAACATTTTTTTCATATAAATTGACGGATGCTAAATCGGAATTCAGCGATATAATTATCTTTCACTTCTCTTTGCGAGTGCCCTCTTTTCTTTTCTCTCACGTAACGCACGAGTTAAACCTCGACTCTACTTACCTACTTAACGAGAACGTTAGATTGCTTTTCTAGATAACTGAAAGAAATTTTCTCATTCTGATTTTATCTCGTAGTATAGTATGATCTATCTGTCTTTCGATGATTGTATTATAAATTTTATTCTTATGTTACAATATTTTCATCTTCTCATAATTATTATGTATATAAATAGCTTGAATTTATAATTGAATATGGTTTTTAAATAATCATACAGATATAACAAGTAGAACGGATTAGAGATGCAAATTTCCGACTTAATAACTTGTAAAATCCTCTACTAGTCTTCTAAAGATCGTGCAATTTTTTAATAAATTGTTTATCGTTTTAGGATGAAGAGGAGGAAATTAAGTTAGAAATAAATGTACTCAAGCGGGTAAGTGTGTATAAATATCATAAAATATTTAATACAAATCAGAGGGAATAATTTAATACAAATGAGTTTTCTTTCATTTCAGTATTCAAATCATAGAAATATAGCTACATATTACGGTGCCTTCGTAAAGAAGTCATCACCCGGCAAAGACGATCAATTATGGCTGGTTATGGAATATTGTGGAGCTGGCTCCGTGACGGATCTTGTCAAGTCAACAAAGGGTCAAAGCTTGAAAGAAGAGTGGATAGCCTATATCTCGCGAGAAATACTGAGAGGACTTAGTTATCTTCATAGCAATAAAGTCATCCATAGGGACATTAAGGGGCAAAATGTTTTGTTGACTGACAATGCGGAAGTCAAACTTGGTAAAGTCGATTTGAATATAAATTGTTAGGTTGAAATGCAAAAGATTCATATTGTATTCCTAAAATAAAAATAAAAGTAAAATATTACATAGTTTTAAAATATTTCTATTGACATTTTCTCAATTTCTCGTTCACGTTTTTTCTTTAAAAAAGAAAACAATATATATTCTTTTTAAAAAGATTAAATCAATTACTTTATTTTTAAAATAAAATTTAAAAAATGAAGCTTTTGCACAAACTTAATATTTGTTATGTGACATATTTCATTTTGACATAGTAATTATATTATCATATCCTCTTTTAGTTGATTTCGGCGTTAGTGCACAATTGGACAGAACGATAGGTAGAAGAAATACATTTATTGGTACACCTTACTGGATGGCACCAGAAGTTATTGCTTGTGACGAAAATCCAGACGCCACTTACGACAATAGAAGCGACCTTTGGTCGCTCGGAATTACCGCTTTAGAGATGGCTGAATCACAACCTCCACTCTGCGATCTGCATCCCATGAGAGTGAGTTTTTTTTTTACTAATTTTGATGATTAAACTTATTTTTACATAGTAAAAGATATTCTCATATTTAAAATTATGTCACTATATATGATCATATATTGTTAAACAGGCCTTATTTCTGATTCCTCGTAATCCACCGCCGCGGCTCAAGTCGAAGAAGTGGGCCAAAAAGTTTCATGGATTCATTGAAACGGTGCTAGTTAAGGATTACCATCAAAGACCTTATACGGAACAACTCCTCAAACATCCATTTATACGGGACCAACCTACGGAAAGACAAGTCAGAATACAGCTTAAAGATCACATTGATCGCTGTAAAAAGCGTAAACAGGAGAAAGGTACGAAAATTAGTAGCAAAATTCTTTTTGAAACTTGTTTAGAGTACAGTGCGCGTTGTCATATGTTCATTACTCATTACAGAAAGAGATGACTATCGATATAGCGGTAGTGAAAATGAAGAAGACGAGCCAGCGTTGGCAGGCGAACCATCATCCATAGTTCAGGCACCTGGAGGTGACACATTGCGCCGTAATTTCCAACAAATTCAGGAAGGCAGGACTTTGACGCAGGATGTACCTCCTCAAGCACCCGCTGCTAAAGAAAAACCAGGAAACAGATCTCAGAGAGAGGTACCAGAACCTGGACCGCCCGCAAGACCCGCTATACCGCACAGACTTATAGGTATGATTTATAAAATAATTTATATAAGTCGATAGTATGTTATTGAGAAAAAATTTTAATATATGATCACAATTGATGATATAATATATGATTAAGATAATTTATGAATTAAGATAATTTATTTCAATTGAGCAATTTATTGTTGAGGAGTTAATTAAAACAATTTTTATAATGTTACGCTTTTCGCTTGTTTCTTATTATATTAGGTAGTTGTCAATTATTTTGTATTTATAATTTGCCTATAATTTTAATATTAATTTCTAATTGTTCTTAATACTTTATTGGAGTATTTATAAGGTCTTTGCATTATTAACATGAGCATAATTACGAATAGTGGTACCAGATCCGCAACCTCCCTCTCGTCCATTACCTCCGACACCTAGGGATGATCCTCGGCAACCGCACAAAGTATCTACACCGCCTTCTAATCACCAGACACCTACTGGAGGAGGAGGTAGTGGAGGATCCGGAGGACAGCCTGCGCCTCAAAGGAACAGTGTTTTTAAACCTATGGTAAGTTTTTGTGAATAAATTTGTCTTATCCTCCGACCTTTCTTAATTATCCAAGCCAATTGTCCCTTCTTTCCATTACACTTTGCAAATAAGAATTATCATATAAATAGACAAAATATATAGATGACCAGATCTGTAGAAAGGCATATGCTGTCGTTTCCTTTTCTTTGCAGTTCTTTGCCTTAAATTTATATTTATCTCTCGATACAAGTATATATTTTCTATATAAACGCATAGCTCACACTTTATATGTCCCTTTTTCTATATACTTGCGATATATTATATATTTTTATCGTATCCATTGCACGCGTTCTACTTCGCCTATTGCGTAATGTCATTGGCATACACGCTGATGCGTTCTATTATATATACACAAGTACACAAAAGCGCTCCTGGCACTTGAATTTGGAATGTATTTGGTTTTTATTTCTTTTCTATGTTCACACCTACCGTAGCTGCCACCGAAGAAACCAGAGGTAAGATAACACGCACACTTTATCTCTCTTTCTCTCTTATGTATTAACAACTCGCTTTCCTGCAAATGCTTGCAGATAATTTAATAATAATCAATCAGTGCAAGGATTAATGTATTTATTTGACTTAAAAATACATTCTTAATTATTTCATTGATAAATTTATGAAAATTAGAGAGAAATATTTATTTTAATACTATTATTTATTACTAGCATCTCCTTCTTAAAATGGAATATTTATATAAATATTATTTGATTTATCTATAAATCTAATTTTTAATGGAAATTACATATAAATAATAAATAGAATTCTGTGTAAGATAATATATATTATAACTAAGGATAATTCTAGTTAATCCATTTCTTTAGAATTTTTTAGAATAAGTTTATTTCCGCAGTAAAATAAAAAATAGATTCTATAGATTTATCAATATTTAAACTAAATATTTACGCATACAATACTCTGGGATTTATAGAGAATGCACTGATTAATTATTAAATTTGTCTGTTTTATAATAACAAATGTCTATCCTTCTAATGTTCCTTTGCTTGATCCACCATTTGCATTGTCCCATATTAGGCTTTTAGATTCATCGTTTAATTGAATTTTCTTGTCAGATTATACATATATTGTATATATTGAGATTTATATACACAATACGTTGGTTGGTGTTTTGTGAAATAATAATGACTTTGTTACTGCATTGTTAAAATATATATATGAGCATAACATGTATGTTTAATTGCATATGATTAAAGTAAAGCAACAATTTGATTAGTTTACGTTTAACAATCGATATATAAAAGAAAATAGAAAGAATATCTGAATAATTCTCTTAAATTTGAAGATGAAAAGATGTTACAAACATAATTGTATAATTTGAAGAAACAAATATGATACAGAAAGAATTTTTTCTTTAATATATTTTTGGAGTTTTTAAGATTAATGTAATATTATTAAATATATTCTCACGTTTTATATTTTATTATTATCATAAAATATCACTCTCTCATCTTTTAAATGGCAGATGCTATAATGTGAATATAAAAATTGACTATTGTTAATGAATATAAAGATTGAGTATATTGTTAATTTATCCATTGAAAATGGAAAATTGAAATTATTAACTTATTACTTTAGCTTTGATTTACTTTAAGAAATTGTAGTTTAATATAATATGTTTTATTAAACGTGTTGCGTTTAGGCTGGTTATACATATACAGGATGATTCTGAAATACTTTGGAAGAGTATTCTATTCATTTTAAGAACAAAAAAATGATAAAGTAATGACTTATTTTCTTTTTTAATTAAGCTGTTTCCTCATGATAAAATTTTATAAAAGACAATTTAGCAAGTTTTGACACACAAAACTTACTGAAACTAATAATGCGATATATAATAATGAAATAAATTATCTCTGTTCGTAAGCGCGTTTGAACACATAGATAATGATTATTAATGCCAGCAACTTTCAGATGCCTTTTCTTCTTAACACGAATAAAACATGCTTCTATAAAGTACAGCCATCTATTTCGGAATTATCCTGTTAAAGTTTTTATTTGAGCGTCGATAGTATTTCACGCTTATAAATATATAACTTTATGTTCCCTTCGACATTCTCCTCGCCTTTCTGTCTTGTTTGCCTGCTCGATAATGGCTTCTAGCAAAAGATTCACAAAGGTCTCGGAACAGTGACTAACGGGGTTGTGCGTGTATGCGTGTGGGTGGTAGGACATGGAGATACTGGCTGCTCAACTCATCGAGCTTGGTGTGTCACAGGGCCCCGAGGCCCCGCCAAGGCCAAACAGGCAACATAAGGGCCTTGCAGCCTCGTCTACGTCGAATTCAGTGCAACCTGCAAGTGGTAACGATCAGAACAACAAACAGATGCCGCAATCTTCCAGTATACTTGATCAAGTAAGCGATTGGAGCCACGATTGTTGTGACAACGATTGATATTTCGGCAGCAAAAATTTACTATGTCTGCATCCACCCTTTTCCCTTGTTGTTACATTTCTTTTCTTTCTACTTTTCATTGCGCGAGAGACACATTAACATCGCTTTGCGTCTAGTGAGTCTTTGAGGTAAAAAGTATACAAAGAAAGATGCAGAGAAATTAATGTCACACGAGTGCGAAAATGACGCTCTAAAAGTGATATATCATTTTCTGTCGTTCTAGGCCCTGTCGATCGAGAGTGATAGCGATGACGATCTCGAAGATGCTGGAGGAAATAACTTGAGAAACGATGGTACATTGCTGGCTAGCGATCCGCCAAAGCCGCTGTAAGTAAAAAGATTTCATAAATTAACCTTCAATCGATCATTATAACAGTTATAATAAATCTTTTATTTGGAAATATTTTGTAAAGAATATCGCTCGCTATGTTAAAAGTCCACTATCATCTAATTAAACACATACGTAATTAACATGTATTAATTCAATAACTCTAATGAAAAGTATTGTGAGTGCAATAATTTATTATACGAATAATGTACAATTTTTCAAATTTGTTTGTATATATTAGTATTTTTTTGAAATTAGAACTGAAAGAAATTACATTTAAGTTAATATGCGAAGCTTTATTTTTTCGAAAAGATGTAATTTTTATAATAATGCACTTGATTTTCGAAAACGATTACAAGACACTTTCTAAAATTGCAGTTACAATACTTTTTATTTTCACCATAAAGTTATTCCTAATAAGAGACGAGTAATGAACAATAATCATACGATATCATACAAAGCTAGTTCTTTAACGCTTTTATTACAATATAATATAATAACTAGAATAGAACGTGATTGCGGTGTATCGTATTAATCTTACTAATGTCATTTCGTTTCATCTTCCATCATGCCTACCCTACGCTTCGACATTTCGTGTCATATGGTCGTCTTGGTCGCCTCGTCCCGTCTCGCCTCGCCTTACAACATCGACAACGCATTACGTGTGCTTCATCCGTTGTTACATCGTTCCGCTGTAATCTCTAATTCTACTGCTGCAGTCCTGAATTTTCTCCTTTCAGACCGTCGTCCGATTCATCGTCGTCGTCTTCACATAATGCCCAAAATTCTCACCATGAAGATAAGCCAAAAGGTAGCTACTTTCAAGAAGCACTACTAATGACACACTGCGCGATTGATTCAACATTCGTGTTTTATCTAATCTTTATAGGAGGAGCACCCAATCGTCCACTTCCGCCAACCCCCGATGAAGAAGAATCGGGCGATCGTACGCTAGTCATGAAACGAGTGAGTACTTTTCCCTTCAAGATTGCGATGCAGGTTAAAAATATTACAATACTTATATTTTTTATGTATCTTCCATTCGGATATATTTCGTTTCGGGGTATATCGTTGAAGTTTCCATATAACGTTGTTATGTAACTTGTACAATACTTGTGTATAATCACGTTTTAGTAGTTTGCGTAAAACAGTCGATTGTATTTCCTTTCTCATCAAAGTTAATATTCGATAAGTATCATAATTACATTAATTAAACAACATTATTCGCTTCAAAATCTTTATTAACGCGAGACTGAAAGATCAGACTTGACGGAGAAAAGGAAACATGAGCGATTGTGATGCATATCTGTCTTTTTTTTCTTTTTTTTGCAATATGTACGTACGTTAACTGAGAGATAATCGGGACTAATTCAATGGTATTGTCCGCTCCCTTCATTGTTTCGCTCCATGTACTCGTCAGGACTGGACTTTATATATTACAAGCCAGCATTATACGGTGCATCTACCGTGCACTGCCTTGTGTCTGTACTTTTGCCGCTGTCGTACGATACACCATGCACATTTATATGACCGATCAACACATACGTTGCTACAGACAGACTATATTGTTACGGTAGTGAAACTGCAACGGATGCATCGCATTATCATCATTATTATTTTTTATAAATCTTTTGTTACATGCATAATCCTACATTTAATCTTGAAACTTTTATCATTCATTTTCACATAGCTTACTCATAACTTCACTACCGTGACAAAGATGGTCGGATTTTTACTACATTATATCACTACACTTCACCACCATTCACTGACAGTCATCGTTTCACGATGTTATTATCGCACGCATTTTTTTTCTTGTTTTTTTTCTCTGTCACCGTACCATTATCTTCGCCATCGTACGCGCACTCTAGAAACTTAGTCAGATGTCAGACGATCGTGCAACGGCTAGCGGCAACCGACGTTCAGAAATAGACGAGCAGCTCCTCCTGAAGGAGTGGGATTTCACCCGCTTCTTTCAGGGTTTTAACGAAAAGTTGGATAAAATGAAACAGGAGCATCAACAAGAAGCGGCCGGCCAAGCGAGCAAGTCTACCGGATCCAATGAGGATCGCTCTTCTTCGTCTAACGAAAGAACGCTCAAGAGACAGGAGCAGTTGGCCCGAAGAAAACACGAGCAGCATCACCAAAAGCAACATCAATTGAAGCCGGTTCACAGGCGACAGGAGAGCGACTCGAAACTGGGCAACGCGTCCAACGCCTTCACCCGCGCATTTCGTCGCGAAAACTCAGATTTTTTCCCGTCCGCGAGACACTCGGCATACTTGAAATCGTCGGACTCATCCCAGAGGTCTAGTATATTCGCTAGCGGTAATCGACGCGGAAGCGAGATGAGTGTTGCCGGTATTATCGGTAAGAAGGGTAGCGGTGGCGGTGGCCTCAACTCCGGAGAGCCGATTCTAACGGATTTCTCGTTGAATCGCGAGGGGCCCCAGAGACCTAGGAGAGAAAAGACCGAGAGCGAGATTGTCTTCGGTAATAGGCACGAAGCGAGAAGGTTCGATTTCGGACGCGATAAAGACGAGAACGCAAGAAGACGCAGTTGTAGACCCTCGGATGCTACGGCCTCTGCCGTAGTCGACGATGCGGGAACGATTAAGTCCACGGCCAGTACGACGGCCAGCGAGTACAGCCCCATTGTCACCCAGGTCAGTCCCCTAAGCGAGTCCTGCGAGCCCCCTCGAATTTCGCGAAATAACTTCGCGAGCCCTTCCTGCCTGTGTGCTTGCCTGAAATTACCCCTCTTATCACCTTGTCGAGATTTTTCTGCCTGTTATCTTCCCTCGTCCATCCCCAAAAATGTATCTTCAAAGTGTCTATCGAGTCTATCTCGTTTATCATATTCTTCTTCGTCAATTACAATTGTTGTATTGTTTATTTGTAAAAAAAATATCAGCAAGATTATATTTAATTAATTAACGAAATTGCCTACGCTCGTAGACACTTCGATTCTTTACACTTTCTCCCGAGACCATCGTGACTGATTTTTCGACATCCAACGGCATAACCAATCACATAGAAAGCTAGTAAATCAGCTACGCTCGACTTTTAGGCGCATTTATTTTTCCTGTTTCACCATTCAGTTACACAAAGTTTGTCAAATCAATAGTAGCGATACATTATTAATTACTAGTGCTCTCTATCACATTAGCAGTATTAATACAATCTCATATTTCGATTAGACTTTTCGTCATTTTCACTTAAAAGCGACATATCGGAAGATCATTGAAGCGCAACGTTAAATTATCGTTAATACGTTAAACCGTCTCTATTACTAATTTCATTATTACTACTATTACTATTCCTGTTATATCTTTAATAACACTCCTGTTACTGCTATTACTACCACTACTGTTAGTGTTCTACTACTATTAGTTCCTATTGTTACACCTAAGGACATGGGGGAGAGTCTCGCTGGGAGAGATGCTGCTGATTTAATAACCCTCTTCACTTTTTCCTCTGCTCTTTATCAATAAGGAGGCTTTTTGCAAATGTGTCGTATTTGCCGAGTAGCGTTAATGCGCGTTTCATTTGAATTCACATTCATCGTGGTACAATGTTTCACCTAATGTAAACTTCTGATGCTTTATTTTTTTAATGAAACATGGTTGTGGGATTTTTCGTAGGATTATTAACGAGCGACAAATCAAAAGAGAGATGTCGAATTATTAATTGCTACTCCGTAAATCAGAACTCCTCCGTCTTCCATTCATCGCTGTATCCTTGCTCCCGGCAAATGAGCCTCGTCCTCTACTGTTTGAGTGATGCGTACTGTGCTATGCAGAAAAACGACAAACATCTACGGCGACGAAATCTGGGACTGAACTGAGGATTAACCGCATGGAATTTCTTCGGGATACTCGACAACACGTCGTTACCATCAGCGCAACGACACGTCGCGGGATTCGGCAAAAAAAAAAAGAACGCATCAAAATTCGTGATGGTGAATCACGAAGACTATTTCCCCGGATTATGTTAACGTATTTCTAATATTTTTTTTTACGTAAAAAAAATATTTCTGTCGTTTTCTGTCGCGGATCTATTTTGACATCCTAACCGTTACTAATAAATAATCGAAAGTGCGGTTTAAAAAAAAAATAAAACGTTTCTCTCGATAAAATTCTTCTCAGAGCATAATATTTCAATTGAAGTATTTTTTGCATAGAAAATATCATGACGTTAATATGTCTTTCTTGTTGAGACATAAGCTGAGAAATTCAATTCTTATATTTATTATACCTCGAGCTTTAGATATGCCTCCAAGTTTTATTTAATACCACTTGTGTAATTGTATGTATTTAATCGTGACATGATGTTCGTAAAGATTGCATTAACATTTTATAAATCTAAATTCTGACGTTTACACGTTCTAAGCCGATATCTTTTAATAACCGTTTAATAATTTTATACTCATTCGTATAATCGAGGATCCTGTATTTTAAAATTAATCTTTTGATTTTTATTTTTTTGTTAAAAAACGACTAACGTATGAACCTATTAATTGAATCTTGAACGATATAAAAAATAATCGTTAACAATAGAATAGATTTTAACTTTATTGTCTCTCTTTATGTACATTAATATATAAATTACTAAAATGCTATTTAAAATACTAAAAAGACTAATATTGCAATAGCCATGTTCTTTTGCGTATTAATTTATCAGAAATTTTATTATTCGAGCCAAATCTTTGCATCCTAAGAATGAGAAAGTTAAAAGATAGAAAGAATAAAAAAACAGAAAGGAATTGAAAGAAAAGGACAGATTCGAAAAATCGTGAGAATAATATTAATAACGATCAACAATCGCGCGCGACCTGGCGTGTATGTGTTTCCTGAATGTGTGTTTGACATTAACGCAATTTCTAATATTTTCTGCATGGTTCTGACCACGAAAGAGATTAAGCAAGCAAGAAAGAAAGAGACAATGACTGTTCCGAAACAATGATCGAATATTAGGAGAAGAGGAAAATTTCAGGCAGATAGAACGATAAATCTCAGAGAAATGAAGCGATTGAGATTAAAATATAGAGTGACGATGGATCATTTTATAAACGTCGTACGAGGCCATGACTGTTATCACGAGCACCGTCTTGCATGACGCTTGCAGTAATAAACAAATGTTGTGCCCAAACTGGATGCGTGCGTGAACAGCAATCATCTCATGTACTCGTGTTGTAGCACGTGCTAAGCATGCTTTATTTCGTCTTACATGTGTCCTTTCGGCATGATAGCGATTTTATGTTTACTCTCATCGTCGTCTCATCGAGATTAACGTGCGTTAGAGAAAGGCTGAGATACATATTGAATTAAGATACCCTTTCTTACGCTCGTTAACTATAAGAAAATTGAGTGTAACGCGATTATTGCATTAATATCGTACAATTTCCAAGCGAAAGCAATAGCTGCATTCAATTTTGCGGTTATTAGCTATTTTCTCTCTAGTGTAAGTCTAATTTTGATGTGGTAGAAGCACAAGAAATGGTAAACTAATTCGTGCAACTATATATATGCATATACATATAGTTATTATTTTTATAATCTATTTATAGTCTATTATTTACGCGTATGTCTTTAATTTTTGATTGCTATTGTAACTTTATACACTTTGTCGAGATTATGTAACGTGATTGTAAAGTTTACATTTTTATTGAATTTGATATATAATGTGTCAGCTGTTTTAGAATAATTTATATATTACAATATCTCTGATATATATATGTCTCTACATGTCGTCGTAAAAAGACTAATGTAAAACATTCAGTGAATTGATAATATGTCATTTAATGAGATTGAGTTTATGTAGCAACTAGATATGATCGATTAGCTAATTGACAATTCGCATAACTGCGTTTTTCTTCTACATATTTTGCATTACACATATTGATCAATAACACATATATGTCTGTACAAGAGTCGTACAACTTGTTGCGTTATTATTCAGAAAACAAATTAATCTCATTAATTCATTATTTATTAACTCATAATTTTTTTTATGTGCATTGTCGATGTAAGTTTCTAAACATCATTTCGCTCTGTGTTTCTCTTTTTATTTTTGTTTTTTATAGCTTTTATTTTTTTCTGTCTTTGTTCTTTGCCGTTTTCGTTCTCTTTCTGCTCTTTTATTGTTTTTGCTTGCCTTTTCGCTTTTCCGTGATATAATCTGCACTTTCATACGTAATTTCATTATCCTTCATATCATCGACATTACTTCCCTTCTAATCCTTGTTTCTCTTACTATTCTATTCCTCTAATCAGCGTAATTCTTTGTCTTATGTCTATATCGCAGTATCGAGATCTGAATCCATAAATATGATGAATTAAAAACTAATTTCCTTTAAAGTTCAATATCTCAATTTTATATATGGTGTAAAAAATGGAATATAAAGAAAGGGAATTTCGCGCAGGGAACAATGTAAAACAGATATTCAGGTGCCGATCTCAAGCCTTCTCTTTATCTCGTCCGCTTTTCCTTTCAGTCGTTGTCTCGATTATCTCATATTAAATGGAAAATCGCTGATTTACAGAATCGCGAGGGTGATCGTTCCAGAGGCGGAGGTGATTTCCAGAGATCAGATTCGTCCCCAGGCTCGCGACCCAGTTCGGTTTTACCGGATCTCTTGACTTCCTCACCAGGTCAACGACAGGACAAGTCGACTAGCGAAGAGGTCAGATTCATCTGTCTATATGTATCCCATGTTCTCTGTCCTCTATATCGATCTATGCGCGCACTCGTATACATTCGTGCATCTCTTTCGATGTATTATACAGAATGTGGATCAATAATAATACATTATTAACGAAAAAATTCGAAAAGAGCCGACAATTTTTGTCGAAAATTAAATATTCAAAATTCACGCAAAATTCACTTTCCACGTACGAGTGCGCGCACGTGCATCATCAAATTTTCAAACAATTTATTTTTATATATATATATATTTCCATCTTATTATACACAAAATTTATATGTTTCTCGTCGAGACTTGTGAGTCTTGTGAGCGATGTGACGTAACAACGTCGTACAATGATTGATAAAGAGATCTTAGATGACTAGCATTTCGTTCAGTAGCAATAATAAGAATGCTTTTTCCGTGTTATCGAATTGTCCGAAAAGTAATGCTTTTTGATTGAATTAAGAGAAACGTTCTTATACTGTGTATATTTATCTCACATCGATTATTCTAAGCATACGTCGCAAAATAGGTACGTAGCGCGTTGGTACTGTGTTCTTACCCGCAAACCTATGATTCGATATATTATTTAGACTTCGCCCAGGCTTCTCGTGAACAGAGAGACTAGTGGCAACGACGGTAAAACGATACAGTTTGCAGAAGAAGTTTGCTCGACGTTTGCTTCGATACTTTTTAATTCCGAATACGTGGAGTCAACTGAATCGCGCGCGTCATTTCCATATATTTATATATATTATTTAAGTTTGTGAGGGTTTGCGTACACAGGAGGCGGCTTATGCTTTGTGTCAGTGTCTTGTTAATTGTTCGTGATAGCCTACAAAGTGCATTTTGTTAACTATACGTATCTCGATCTGTTACTTCATTCCTTTAAGTTGCATTCTTATTTCATTATGAACTTTAGCAATTGGTATATAGATATTTCGACGATTTTTTATTTTACATTATTTTTTTCTTATGTGCATAAACAAAATTATCGTACACGAAGGTACAATATTAGCAGAGGCTGAACAAAATTCCGCGAGTTTGACTTTAGCGGAGATTCTCAAAAGACATTATTCGATTCGATTTCTAGAGTTGCTCTAGAGTTCGCATATTTCCTACTATGCTCTTGATAAAAAAAATGATAAAAAAAGAAAGAGAGAGAGTGAAAGTTACCACTAGTCTAGTAACGGTTCGCATTTTTGCGTACGCATCTCTTTACTCGAATCTCTCATCAGGATCAATATCGGAAAAGCCTTTGCGATTCAACGGCTCGTACATCCCCAATTCGTTGCCGTAAGAATCGTACGCGGTAGTTTCGTTTACCCCAACACCCCTAAATATGTTCTTTTATCTTACATTTCTCGATTAATCAGATATTTCCTCGCAAGCGTGATTCTTCGTCGTTCGTATCCTGATCTTAGATAATTAGTGTTTCTGTAGGAAGAAAAAAAAAAGATATATATCAGTTACGTCGAAGAGTAATATATATCCCGATTATATACGGATGTTAGAGCACTGTATCTCTCTTATTGGCAATCCACGTGCAAGAAGAGACGTGAAAGTCGCAAAAGTGAGTTAATCGGGCCTCCTTAAATGGAATTTTTTTTTCTTTCTTTTTTATTACGGTCACGCTTTGATCGGTAGAATCGTAGGCCACACGCCATGTCTCTGTTTCACGTGCGATCTCCCTATAAGCGATCAATTATACGGTTGTCAGCGTGACTAATTCAGGATTATGTTGTGTGTTGTGGGACACGCGGGAGCTCTAACCCGAAGGGCAGGGCCCTCTACTGACCATTCCAATCCCAATACTAATTACAATGTAAGTATCTCTATTCATCCATTTACGCAATTTCAACATTGTTCCCCCTCCCCTCGTCTCCGCCCTCGCGTTTGCGCGAGGGATGGAGACGGAGGGGAGACAAGGGCATATACTCGTGTTACTTTGCTCTCGATCATTGATCTTTTTCATTATGCACACCGCGAGATGAATGCCAGTTTTTGTACGCGGGTCGTTTTATCCTCTTTTTGTTGTTGGTTTGTGGGATCCTCTATTCTCTTGATTCTTGATATGTCACATGGTATATAAACGACGACATTTCTAACACGACCGTCGCGGCCACCGTTGCTTTTTGTTCTCACATCTCTCTCTTCCTTCTATCCTTTCTCTGGATTTTGTTTCTCATTCGTGAAACGTGCGTGGCAAACGTGTGCGAGATGTATCGCGCGTTTCACGATGTTTACGAGTGTTTCATTCTCGTTGAGTGTGTTCGAGAATAACGACGCGACGCGATAATAAATAAGCTAATAATTGTGTGGGTGTGTGTGTCATTAAACACAGAGTTTGCTAGCTTTGAATCTGCTTATCAAATGCATCCTCCCCGACATTATGGGTTTCGTCATCATTGCGAGCGCCTGTACCTTTTTAATTTCATGTTACTTTAGCGTACGAAAGCTTTAACTTTACGAACGAGGTAATATCTGTCTGTGGAAGAATGCTATGTAGATATCGCATATTTGACTCGACTGATTTGTTCTCTCTCTCGACTTCCTCGTTTATCCTTTGCATGTGTTCTTTTTATTTTCACTATCGAAACCTTTACTTTCTCGCGATTATATCTTTCTGCCAGTAGTGTTTTCGGGTTTATTTGGTTTGGATGACATTTTCTGGGACTTTAGCATCCTTTTTGTGTGCAAAGTAGAATTTTTTACTGTGTCATTTGACGCGTTTCGCCCGGGATCTCTTAAACGGCAGAGTAATCTCTGTTGCAGTATCGACAAGCGGTGAAATCACCACCTCCGTTTGCGCTTCAACAGAAACAGAGGTCTTTTCTGACTTTCGGATTCGGAGCCGGCCCAGCGAGAAGAGAGTCTCACGTAAATGTTAACGTAACTCCTACCAGCCACGATTTAGCGTCGGATACACCTGAGATACGCAAATACAAGAAACGTTTCAATAGCGAGATCCTTTGCGCCGCCTTATGGGGTATGTGCAGCTACTTAATTTATTATTTCTTATAACATAAAATCTCTTTAGTTCTGTCGAATTGTGTATCGATCTCTAACCGTTTTACAGGAGTAAATCTATTAATCGGCACCGAAAACGGTTTGATGTTGCTGGACAGGAGTGGACAGGGTAAAGTTTATCAATTGATCAGCAGGAGACGTTTTCAGCAGATGGAGGTCCTCGAAGGTCAAAATATTCTCGTTACGATCAGCGGTAAAAAGAACAGAGTACGCGTCTATTATTTGTCTTGGCTGAAGAGTAAAATTCTGCGGACGGACGGTCATAGCGACGTAAGTTTTGCTTATATATTCAGTAAAGATTGCCTTTTCTGATCTTCATTGCAAGAGTATTTTTACCACGAATATTATTTGTTTATTTGCAGCAAGTCGAGCGACGTAATGGTTGGATTAACGTCGGCGATCTGCAAGGTGCCGTGCATTTCAAAATCGTGAAATACGAGAGGATAAAGTTTCTCGTGATCGCGCTGAAAGATTCCATAGAGATTTACGCTTGGGCACCAAAGCCGTATCACAAATTCATGGCTTTCAAATCTTTCGGCGAACTCGCGCATAGACCGCTACTGGTCGACCTTACGGTTGAGGAGGGTACAAGGTTAAAGGTTATTTACGGTAGCGCCGACGGCTTCCACGCAGTTGATTTGGATTCCGCCACCGTTTACGATATTTATTTACCAAAACATGTAAGAGAAATCGGATCCAAAATTGGATAGGAGAGGTAGATAGGTAGAGATGGATATACACGACACGATTTATTGGCCGATTTGCTCGTTTCATAAATTGGGCAGGTTTCTGGGTGATAAATCTTCCTTGTACGATTTATCGTTAGTAGATAGAATACGAACACGTGCACGTTTACACACACACATACACACACTTTGCAGTATCTAACGATATATCGGCAGATTTTTACATTGAATGAATTTTGTAACAGGAAACGATATTTTTTTTACAGCAAAACTTTTTATTGAGATCAGTCCGTCTGTAAATTTTCAAATTTATCCGTAAAAAGACATCAGTTTGTGTGTGTGTGTTAGTTACATATGTTGCTTTTTAATTTGTATGTACTATACAATTTCTCTAACAATTTTTCAAATTAATAAGTAGCTCGAATCAGAACTGATAAAAAATCGTCGTCTATATTTATCTCTGCCTATCTCTATTTTCTTAAAAATCATATGACAAATATATATTATCGTTTTTTTTCCTAATCATAGACTCAGGGTCCCATCTGTCCGCATTGTATAGTAGCGTTGCCTAATAGTAACGGCATGCAGCTGTTACTTTGTTATGATAACGAGGGCGTATACGTAAATACATATGGCAGAGTATCCAAAACGATGGTTCTTCAATGGGGCGAGATGCCTACGAGCGTCGCATATATCGGCACGGGACAGATTATGGGCTGGGGTAACAAGGCGATCGAAATTAGAAGTGTGGAGAGCGGTCACCTCGACGGAGTTTTCATGCACAAGAAGGCTCAACGGCTCAAGTTCCTCTGTGAACGTAATGATAAGGTGCGTATTATATATCTCAATTCGAATACAAATATTTTTATTAAAATCTTAGATTAAAAAATGCCATAAATTTGTATCACGTTTTATTATTTACGTAAAGCTCATATAGCATTATATCGCTTATATTCTCAGGTGTTCTTCTCGTCGGCGAAAGGCGGTAGCTCGTGCCAGATCTATTTCATGACATTAAACAAACCGGGGATGGCCAACTGGTGATTCCGAATGAGGCCGAATCTGGCCCCAAGATTATCTTCGCGATTACCAACCTCACACAATCCTTCTCCGCGTGTATCAGGATACACAGCGTCAGCGCGTACACTCGCCCGCCCTTCACTGCCAGGACTCGGCGCCTTGGAGACTAGGAGGTGCATGCATCGTATCCAACATCCTTATCAACAACAGCATCAGCAGCATCATCAACGTCATCGTCAATATTATTCTTATTATTATCCACGTAATCTTTCAACATCGTACAATTACAATTATGAATATGAAGAGGACGAAGAGTGCGACGATAGATTCCAACGATACTGTCGGCCCTTGCGAAGCGCACCGGGGACATTAACGTTTGTGAATCTCCTCGTCAAGAGATTTCTCTGTATTCTCACTTGCTCGCCCTGCGGATTGCGCGGCGCGGCCTAACACGGTGCTGAAACACGGAGCAAATTTTCTTAAGAGCGCGCACGATAAAATATTGCACGCTGGTAAATCGTATTGAAGGTATTCTCTATGTATTTTTCTCTCTCTTAAGAAAAACACAAATTTATCGCTTTAATTATACTACGGATAAGTCTATATTTGTTTCGCGTTTATATATGTAAACTTTTAATTCACACAAAACCTTAATATTAAAACGAAACAAAGTGTATTTTAATGTGTCTGATGAGTAGATAATAATTAAGAGAGTGTTTTATACGAAGAATGATTTAGAGAATAACATAATAAAACATAAACTTTATTTGTGCTCTTATCTTTCTAAAATCGTGAGTAGATAGACATAAGTACAGTGCAGACGAATTACCAGTGACGCAGCGATCATGTAACTGACTGATTGTTGTACCGGAGAAACTTCTCTTTGATTGTATTGTGCAACTGTTTTCAGCATAAGAAAACTCGTGCAATATCGCTGGATTGATCTGTACAAAAAAAAAGAGAGACTCTATTCTAAGAGATTTTGCTTGCTTGAAAAAGAAGAAAAAAACTCGTATAGTGTTTACAGTCGTAATTATTTTCTTTTGTCAGTTTGTTAATTTCTCAATTCTGGTGTGAGGCTTGAACAAAATGTGTGACGTCGTTTCAGTAGAAACGGACGCGTTACAACAGACTGACGCCATAATAAACGGGAACGATGCCGATATCATGAAATAAAATTAGAATTAAGTGAGAGTAATTACTAACGTTAATTAATTGTATAGTTATAGCAGCTGGGATTCTTTCCGCGGGCTTGTACTCGCAAGCGCGACGACGCGATATGAGATAACGTGGTAGAATAATATATTGGATGGATGAAAATCGCATTTTTACAAATAGTAGATTAATTATATCGTAGGGATTTCGCGACGTGCGATGTTGAAATGATGTATAGCTAAGTTTCTTTTTTTTTCCACATTTTCAAGTTTGAATAATTTCTTGTTATGTTCAATACGCGTACTTTGTACTACGAGAAATCACATTCGCACAACAATCTTTCGTCGTAACGTCACCGACGAATAACGTAGGCGTTATAGTCTTCAGCTTTTGTAAGAAATTTGTAACTTAGCGAGAGGACGTGCACTAAAAGAGAGCATCCCGCCCTTCCGTCTTCCCGCTCGTTCCTTGATCGCGGATCGCTATTTCGCTTCTGAAGCGTTATTACGATCTGATCTCATAATCTCAAAGATACTCTCCCCTGGTTGAAAGGGAATCCTTAATAATTACTGTACCGCGATTTTATTGATGTCGGATTAATCTTAGCCGATTTAAGCGAGCTTACAGTGTTAATAATGGGGTGTGGTGAAGGAACAAATTTCAAATTACCTTAGTTCTTCGCTCACGTTGTTTACAGTGTCGAAGTCATTGAACGTACGTAATTAGTATACGTAATGCTTGCAGGGATTTCATCGATAAAAGTTACGTTAAAAAATGTATGGGGAAACGTACTTTTAACTTTTACCGTTATACCAGACATAATTATGATGTTACTAACATGACTCGAGAGAGCGAGAGTGTACGACAAGAACTATTAAAATTAAGAATCAGATCGGCGTGCTTGCAGGGATTTCATCGATAAAAATTACGTTGAAAATGTATGGGGAAACGTACTTTTAACTTTTACCGTTATACCAGACATAATTATGATGTTACTAACATGACCCGAGGGAGCGAGAGTGTACGACAAGAACTATTAAAATTAAGAATCAGATCGGCGTTAATTAATTATGCAACTCTGAAAATCGGAATGATATTTGAAATTTGAAAATAAGACAATTGACGTAACGAAATATCGTGCTAAACAAAATCTTGAAAATGTCTTTCCCTTTTTATCCAGACTTGCAGTCAAGACATATCTTTGCTTGTCGCGCGTTTTAAAACGAGCGATTAAAGTAACTGGATCTTTGTCGACGATGAAAAAATTGTACTTTTTAATACTAAGACATTATGTAATGTGACTCGCGTATTTACGACATGATTACGACTATAGCGATTCTAATGACGATCGAGAAAAATCAAGTTACGCGAGAGAGACTGACTCATGAGAGGATACACTCATTTATTTATTTGTAATAAATAAATAAATATATGACGTGTCTCACATGCAACGCAGATGCATTTTACTTTGATCGATAACGACTTTTCGATATTCAGCGATACCGCTGCAATCGTGAACCGATTGCAATTGCGAAATTGCATATATGTAAGTGCTATTAAATAAGTTGTCGACGTTATCAGTTGGTAACGTATATATAGATTCTATGCTCGCGGCGAAACATTTTTTATATCATTCACGAGAAGGCACAGGAATGAGCGGAAAGCTTCATACGGTGCAACGAAAGACTGCTTTTTAAATGGAGGGAGCTTTTTATCGCGCGAGAACAGAGAACGAGTGGGATACCGAACAATGTCGAACAAAAGAAGGGGAGAGAGTGCAAAGAGAGAACGAGAGAGCGAGAGCGAATGAGAGAGTGAGAGAATGATCTTTTGGCAAAAAAAATAAAAAAAAAATATACTGTACTTTCGGACGGTTATATGCGATTGGCAGGAATATGGATAATGATTATATGATAGTAATATTATTAATTATCTTAACTAGCGCGAACTAATTTTATACGAGGACTTCCCCTTTCTTTGTATCCTTGCATCTTTACTCGACTCCTCCTTTTCTAATCTTTCTATGGCGTATTTCCTCATTACCCTTCCCCCCGTTCCCTTATCCCTTCTCTTTACACATTGTCTCCCAAAGATGGTAGTGATGATTTTTTTTTTACAGTACGTAGTTCATAATTATTATTACGGCAATTTATATCGATTGTATTATTAGCATTATTCCTACTTCTTACAAACTTCTCGATCGTTAGACGCGATGTATGATTACGACGATTATTATTTTTATTATTACTATTCACACATACACATACACACACATACACACTATTGCTAAAGTCAAATATACGGACATTCGTAATTTCATCGATGCGTTTCTTTATTCGCAATCCTTTTATTATTACCACGTCGACGAGTATTTATCAGTGAGCAGCGGCAAATCGGCGATTCTCTCGGATTCTTCTTTCGCTCTTGAAAGGCGCGATTGCAAGTTGGACGCTCGTTTATCGCGTTTATTATTATAAGTCATTACTTGATTCGCACACTAGTAATACAACGAACCGCTAACGTGATTTCCGCGTGTTTATTGTGTATAACGCGATGCTTATCGTGACTGCGAGTTATCGATGTTTGTTGAGAATTCATGCTCTTCCGGAGTGTACGCGATCGAATTTCTCTATGCACTTTCCTAAACCGGATCTAGCTTCATCGTTTGCCAATTTCCGCTTAATTGTTTTGCATGTTTGCGATGTTGTTTGAAACTGCTGCCGATGTTGTCGGTGGAACGATGGATCATTTCGCATTTAAATAGATCGTATCTTTTGCGTGCTACAAACATTCGATCCCTTTAATTTGTTCGAAAAATCGCTCTTCACACGATCTATAATATGTATATGCGAAGAATTTTATTTATAACTTTATACGTCTCGTGTGTAATGAAATATTTGCAAAAATCGAAAATGCAAATATATAAAATCAACGTTGTTTATGAAAACGTTTGTTGAACGAGAATAAAAGAGGTCTTTTTCGCGTCTATGTCAATTATTGGTCACAAGTGTTAATCAGTTTTCCGCTAATTAAAATTATTGATATTGAAGAAATGAGGAATCTCGTGTGATGTATATAAAATGGCAATCTAAATTGTGTATGATACTTTTTGTTGATCGATACTTTAATTAATATTTTAATTAATATTATTCAGATTTTTTTCCAGGAAAGATATTACTTTTCCGAATGTTTAATCGTTCGTAAAACCCCTATAATAATTGTTATTTTTATAATCTTGTGTTTTCTACTTTATTTTTATACATTTAATTTCTTATAATACATTTAGATTGCGTGTTTACGTATGCATTTTTTATATACACATTTTTTCAAATCGAAGGCTTATCTTTTTCTGTTGTAATAATAATCATAAATATTCAAATCGAAATATACGCCACTTTTACAAATAAAAGAGAGAGCCAAAATGCATGATATTGAAGGGTTCGAAAATAACACAAAAAAGCGAAAAGACATCTTAAAGACGTCCTTAAGTCATTTTCAGGCGGTTTTTAGGGGCATATGTTGCCTGGAAGAGGATCGAAAATAAAAATCCGCAAGCACCGCATTGGAAGTTTACGGATTGTAGAGTTTCTCGTTCGAGAGAATTGTTTCTCCCTCTCTTTAGGTATAGCATACACTAAACTATTAACCCCCGTAATACCTAAAAGCCGATGTATCGGTTTTTGTTGGCGCGTAGAACGCGGTTGCAATTGACGATCGATATATCGACATGTTAGTTAGTACTATCTACTAACGAAATTATTAACGTTTAATACTTTAAGGATCTTTTGTACCTATTTTCAAAATATTGAGAATTTAATGAAAATTGTACAGAACATCCTTACATATGTTTAGAATCTTCAGTACAATTTTTCAATCGATTCACTAAAGCGTTCAAAAGTTATAAGGATTTTAATTTGCACCGAATTATCATGTGTTCTTATGAGAAACGTATAACCACGTCGATTCAAATGACAAAAACACATGGAAATAATATTCAGAATTTTTTTAAAATTTGCAAAAGTTTAGATACAGAGGAAATATTTGGTCAAATAATATTATACAAGTACTAACTGGTTAAAAAGATATTAAATATAATTCAATGAAGTTAGCCATGTATCTGTCACAAGGCGAAATTCTCTGCCGAAAGTTAATCATTTCGATTAACAAAATTCGGAATATTTTGGTAAAAACGCAATAAATATTAAAAAAATACATCTCTGCACTGTAGCTAAAATCAAATTGTAAAATTCCACACAATTTCTTACTCAAAATACACCAAAAGTGGATATATTCGTCAATATTGATTTTCAGCTACTTTTTGTTGAAATTGTACATACAAAACATCCTTAAACCTCGCTGGACACGTCTAACGGTCGGGGAAATAAGAACAGTTGGAGTAAAAGCCGACTACGATGCTACCTCGATTATTTGCCGCGACAAATCGCTTGTTTGCGACGACGCGACCGGTTCAACAAGATTGCTCGGTGACCGAAATCTCGGCCGATCTTTGGATGTTCCCTGGAAAGTTTGATGCTTGGCGGATCGAGGCGGGCTGCACCAACGGCTGTATTAATGATGGCTAGTAATTAGCTAGCAGCGACGGGCTCAAAGACCGCGGCCCGCTCCCTTGGCGCGAGAATCAGAAAGTTTCGTTTCCGTGGGTAATGACGCGAGAGAGGACGCGCATATACGTATATACACTGGAGAATATGTTTATTCGAAAGTTGCACGCGCGTTAAACGCATTAAAAGTATTCGCCGGAATGGATCCGCGAGCGTGCAAAGTTTCGCCCAGCTGGATTTAACCACCTGATCTCTCGCCCACCCCCCGTTCGCGCCCACCCCATCCACACTCGGTCTATCTCGATAACAAACTACGGATGCCGATAACGGGGAATGCTCTTTTAAAATCGGAATATATATCGCGTTCTATTCCTCGGCTGAAGAAAATAACATTCGCGTTAATTTTTTTCGAATCCTCATCCAGGAAAAAGTGATTAAGGATTTCGATTTCAATTTTAAATTCTGCAAAAGGATGCAACGAGTGAAGGAAGGAAATTTTAAAAATAAATAGAGAGAAAGAGAGATACATTTTTTTTCTCGGAAAGAAAATATTTATTAAAGGAAGAGGAAGAATGTGGGTGTTTCCTCGAAACGTTACTTAAATATAGATATACCTCCCATCGGTCCTACAAACCAATATTACGTCCTGAAGGTACGCTTTTTCAGGGCACGTCTAAAGACCGTAGCCGAACGCTTTCTTCTCCAGGAGAAACGAGAAACTTATGTTTTCGGAGTTAATTGTATGCAAGTCCCGACGTGCGGGCGAATCGGGAGCGCTCTTTCCCTCTTTCTTCGTTTCATTCCATTTCGTCCCAGCCGGCTTTTCCCAGTTCGGGGCCGGGGGAAAGGGGAAGGGAGAAGCGATTCGGTTCCCATTACTGTGGAACGTTTGAACGTAAGTTGATTGCTCGTAGTATGGACTTTTGTATTCTCTAAACTCGGAAGCATTATCGTTAACGAGCAAACGATAGTCGCTGGAAGCGTAGCCGATACCGAGTGCCGGCGGTACTTCCGGAAATTCTTGCGCAACTAAACAGCTCCTAATGAGCTTGCCGAGTAATACTCGGAAATCGACCAGTGGATCGGAAACTAAGTTAGAGAGCGATTAATTCAATTCGCCGCCCTGTTTATTATTAGTTTCGCGGTAATCGTGTATTTCGAATCACCGGAGCGCGATATCTTTTCCTCTTTTCTCCATCTTGTTTGCCGCGATGCGATTTTTCCCCGATCCCCTGCCTCCCCTTGTCCCTCTCCCCCCTCCCTCCTCTCTCTCTCTTTCTCCCTTACCAATTACAACTTTGTCTATATAATTCGCAATCGTATTTTGCGCCCCTTATCGCGAGATTCGCTCTCGCGCGACTTTCGATCGCTTCGAAAACGAATTTCCGTCCCTTTATTTCCTCGAGAAATGGGTCTCTCTACGTCTGCATATTCCTATTTAAGCTCGCATTTTTTTTCGCAGCATTCCGCGTGGGAATCCGGTCGTCTCGCGAGATAGTAACGCGGGAAATCGCAGCAGCCGGGTGACCCGAAAACGAAATATTTCCGACATTCGCAGACATTGTAGTTCGGGCATTTCGCTATCGTATTTTCCTCCCTCTTCCTCGTTTTTCCACCTTCTTTCTCTCTCTCTCTCTCTCTCATCCAAAAATTCGATGCGCACCCATGTATCTCTCTCTTTCTGCGATACTATTGCCGCATCAAGAGGCTCACAAACGTACCTTTGATATACAAGCGAACACGTTATCAGAGCGAAAAACTGGATCCATCGAACACCTCCCGTCGATAACAGCCCCCGTGGATCGTGGCCAGTCCACGAGAAACTATATTCCTGTACGTGGCAGAGCATTAGAAATATTTCATTATTTTTTCGGCAGCGAGCAAGAGGGTCAATATTGGCTGCTACGTTAACGTTATCTCGAAATTTAGTCTTAACGAAAAAATATTACCTTTAGTGCGTACACTTTTACGCGGAATATACAGTTCTGCACAAATCTAAGTTTGTAAATAGCCCTCTTGCGAGCTCTTCGTTGGCGTGTCTGCTAAACACGTACTAATCGTAAAGATGCTTAAGATCGTAGAACAACTGTAATATTTCAAGCATTTATACCTGTCGTCTGTACTCTCATTAATTTAACAGAATAATACATAAGTCTACGCGTATATAAGTAATGCGCGTAATATATAAGTCTGCAGTTGATGTAGACGATATTTATTTGCGCACCAGCATCTGATTAATATTTCCTACAACTTGTAGTGGCAAACTGATAAAAAAATATAGAACATTTCTAAAGTGGAATACAATAGATTGTTGAGAATTCAAAATTACTCGAAACATGATTTCTGTAATTTTGATTTAAAAAAAATTTAGAGATTATTTTATGACCTTAATAAGTGCAATACAATGTTTCAAGCTTAAAAAAATTTAATAAAGTATCGTATGTTTTAATAAATAAGATGTGGCTGCTTTTACAAATGGCTTTAAATTGCCACCGATCGATATCCCTTCATGTTTTTTAACAATATAACGATGCTGCGATATTAAACCGCGCTCGGTGTCTGAGTCTTCTCGAATCCTGATCCACATAAGACTCTAATACTCTTTGTATAATATAAATAAAATGGCAAGAAAATGGAATTAATATTTTATTTACATATGCGTAAAAAATATTTTCTTTATTTTTCGTGCATTTTTTCTATGCAATATATAATCATACATATTGCGCCAAGTTGGGTTTTATTATTTATTTACATATA